TAACTCCTGTTTCTGCCTCTAATATGTCTCTGACTAGACCTTCATGCCTGAGAAGGTGTCCTACCAACCTATCTCGCCTATTTTTTTTTGTCTTCCATAGAGTCCTCTGTTCTCCTATTCTTTCCAGTACCTCTTCATTTCTAACCTTTTCTACCCACGATATCGTCATTATCCGCCTATGACACCACATTTCGAACGCTTCTAACCTTTTCTTTCCGCCGCTCCCACTGTCCATGTTTCGCACCCGTACAACCCCGTGCTCCAAACATACACCATTAACAACCTTTTCCGAATTTCTAAATTAACGGTTAGCGAGCATAGAAGTGACTTCTTTTTATTAAAGGCGACACGATCCTGCGCTATCCTCTGCTTTATATCCCTACTACTCCTTCCATCCTCACTTATCTGACTTCCTAGATATCTAAAATCAGCCACTTCTTCTAATTTTTCATCTCCTATCTTTATATTCGCTCTTTCCCTACTTTTTCTTCCCTTGCATACCAGTATTTTAGTTTTACTTTTATTTATTTTCATACAGTACTGATCTGTCAGTACCGCTTCCATTTTATTTAAAGCTATCTCTAGGTCCTCCTTGCTAGATGCTAATACTGCTATATCATCTGCAAATCTAAGCATACTAATCTTTTGCCCTTGCACATCTATCCCTACAGTTGTACTGTCTTTAATGATGTTGATGGCGTCTTCGATGTATAGATTAAAAAGTAGCGGTGACAGTGTGCATCCCTGCCTGACTCCCTTCCTAATATTTACTTCTCTACGTTGCATCCCCAGCTCTATAACTGCCTGTTGCTCTTTATACAAACTAAGTATCACTCTTCTATCTTTGTAATTCATCCCTACATTTTTAAGTATATTTAACATCTTGTCCCATTTAACATTGTCAAAAGCTTTCTCTAAATCTACAAATCCTATGTACGCACTCTTTCCTTTTTCTATCGTTTTCTCTATTGCTACCCGTAAAGCTAGAATGGCCTCCCGCGTTCCTCTATTTCTTCTAAACCCAAATTGATCTTCCCCTAATAGTTCTTCCGCCCTTTTTTCCATCCTCCTCTGTACAATTCTAGTTAAGATTTTTGACGCATGGGAAGTTAAGCTAATTGTTCGAAATTTCTCGCACCTATCCGCGCCCCTCTTCTTAGGTAATGTTACTACTACGTTCCGTTTATAATCCTCTGGGACTTTCCCCGTTTCGTAAATGTGACTAACTAACTTAAACATACGATCTCTAACCTCTTGTCCTGCATGTTTTATAATTTCCCCCTGTATCCCATCTACACCTGGCGCCTTATTATTCTTTATATTTTTTAATGCTACATCGAACTCTTCTCTCATTATGGAGAAACAAAGTTCACCTATTTCCACATTATCTTCCTTCTCTAATATATCTCCTGAAAAGTGTCCATGGGAAAATCACGTAACCCCGTTTCGTATCCAGTTTTCACAATAATATAAAATGAAGTCATAGATTGTTGCTATAAATTTTGTAATATAAAAATTAATAGGCGAACCGGAAAAATTCGATCATTGTATTGGGAAAATACTTTTAAAAAATTAGTTCTGCATCTTTGGTAGCTGTTGTAGGTCGATTAACAAAATATTATGAAGCCAGGAATTAATTAAAACGTTATAATCTAAACAACATTTATTTATATACATATTCGTTCCTAAAATAATATTCTAATTATCAATGGGTCTTTTGAAAACCAGAAAGTTCGAAGTGGTACCTACCCAAATTTTTATTTGAAATATTTTTAAACTAATACCTATTGCTAATGATTTTTCGTCTGTCTGAAACAGATGATATGCATTTGGATTACATGACACAGGTACAAGTCACTGATGCTCTTCGCATATTTGTTTGTTACTAATTCTTTATTTATTGTAAAAATTTGTACATACTTATTGGTCTTAACTATGTTCCTTATTGATTTACATCATGTACGTCTTACTTACTTTTTTCATAACTGATGCTTTCCTTAAGCTAAAATACAATTGAAAACAAATATAGCCACAAGTAATTGCAAACTAACGACGTAAGAAACTGAACTGTTATCGGCAGGAGGTGCATTGGTGGTTGCTGGAGGACCTTCGGTAGAGATTGGAGGGTTTGTATTATCACTAGGGGGAGGTGTAGTATAAACTGTTGTAGGAGGACTGATAGTTGTAGTTATCGTTACATTTTCGTTAGCAAAATAGTTGGTTAATGCATTTTCTATCCAGTCATTATAGTACGCCACGTCTGTATAAACACCAGGATAACCATCCCTCGCACATCCTCGTCCCCATGAAACTATTCCAGCCACGCTCCCGTCACATACTAGCGGCCCTCCAGAATCTCCCTAAATAATTACATAAAGTATTTTAAATAATAAGGTTTCAAAATGGGGACTACAACCGATGCTTTTCGAACGGAATGTCTAGGAAAGTGCTAGAATAGTCTAGACGATCATTTATCATTCAATTGATTTTCGGCCTGGGGGCCTCACTATGTATACCGTATGCTTTTGGGGTTGCTGGTTTCAATTCCGCGGTCAATTTAACTTCAGTATATGAGGGTTTGGACATAACCCCAAATGCACTCTAAAATCCTCTAAAGCTGTTACTGTCTTAAACCATTTTTAACCTAAATCCACTAACCAATCAACTATTTCACTAAACATTGTAATCCTTTAAAACCCCATTCATAAAACCTTATAACCCCATAATCCAATATCCCCATAATCGAAATACTGAAAAAGTGTTGCTTCATCTCTCGCCATGAAACTATTTGTGGCACAGCTTTCATGCAATTAAAGTTTCTACCAAATGAAAATACCACAAATGGCGCGGTAAACGCCATCTGTGGTAGGATGCTACATTTTAGGATTACGTATGCTCCAACAAGGTCCATTTAAATGTATGGATTTCTACTTGCTGAAACGAATCCCGGCGTAGCTAACCTCAACGTGATAGGCACGTTACCATAATCGAATAAAATAATTCGAAGTGGTCTGTCGAAACTGCCAAACGCAGATCGCGATTTCGATCTTTTTGAATCTCATCAGCGCGTCGCAGACAGCTCCGACAGAACACAGACCAACTTTTACCTGCTGTCTTAACAGCGCGTTTTAGAAAATACCACAAATGGCGCGGTAAACGCCATCTGTGGTAGGATGCTACATTTTAGGATTACCTATGCTCCAACAAGGTTCATTTAAATGTATGGATATCTACTTGCTGAAACGAATCCCGGCGTAACTGACCTCAACGTGATAGGCACGTTACCATAATCGAATAAAATAATTCGAAGTGGTCTGTATTCTGTCGGAGCTGTCTGCGACGCGCTGATGAGATCCAAAAAGGTCGAAATCGCGATCTGCGTCTGGCAGGTTCGACAGAATACAGACCACTTCGAATTTTTTTATTTCTACCAAATCTTATACAGGGTTTGACATCTTGCGAATCATAAGGGTATACTGTTTTAATTTGTGAAGCGCACACCACCAATAGTTGTGAAATATTGATCGATATTGTTTCAGTGTCTTGATTACGGGGATATATAATGTTATGGAGTCCTAAGGTTAGGGGTTTAAAGGACTATGAAGTTATACATATGGTGAAAGAATTGATTGGTTAGAAGTTTTTGGTTTAATATCTTTTGGAATTATCAGGAACTTTGGAGGTTTATTTTGAGTTTATGTCCAAATCTGACGTCCTGGAATTAAATTGGCCTAGGATTAGGATTCACTGATCCCAAAAACATACAGTATCCATACATAGTCAGACTCCCAGGTCAAAATTTTTTATGTGTAGCTGTGTAATCTGCTACTAAAGTCTTCTTTGGGTAACAAATTGTTTTTGCAGAAGGAAATATTCTTAAAAATTATTAACCTGACAGGAGTCAATTCCACCTTCCATAGATCCAGCGCACATCATTCCAGGAGTAATGCGACCCTGGCCATAGTTTGTGGAGCACTCCTCTGTACTAATGATGAGAACGTTGACGTATCTTAATTCATCAACTACATCACCCCCCTTAAAAATAACATAATAATAGTTTTAAACAAGGCTGATGATTATAATGTAATCTTCTAGCACCATTGTTTGATTATTACCGAATATTCACTGTAAAAAATTATCATTTTGATTTATAATGTAAAGTATTTGAGGTTGTTAACAAATAGAATCTTATGTTAAAATAAATGTACTGTTGTGTAATTTCAAAGAACAATACATCTGGCGATGAATTGAATAGGTACCTTAATTTTAACGTAAAAAAATTGTATGTTACAAAAAGTAAGTTCAGCTTATTTTTTACAATGTTAGTCACATTGATGAATCTACAAATGTCCCAGACTATCACCGAAAAGTAAATAACATTGAACCCCACACAATGTTTATGGAAAATTGGGTCCAGCCAAATTGGAGTACTAGAACAAAATTTTCAGCTTTTCTAAAGTATCCCTGATAGAATATTCAATCGACTATTTCTTTCGGTAATCTAGATATGTAAAAATGTTTAACAGAAGAGTTTTTGGGTCTAAATATGACCACGCAGTAATAAGCGGAACCATGACCTTGATAACTACCTACAAGGTAATTGCAAAATATATTGATCATAAAATGACCTTAGAGGAACTTATCAAGCAAACTATCTACTAATTACTTATCGATAATGAATATTTATAAATAGAACTTCTAGAATTGAGTAAAATAACAATATAAATCAATGAAATTAAAACGCAATTGTAAACATCTTACTGAATATTCTGAACCCCATCCGGAAATAGTACAATTGGTTCCTGGCTCAGGTCTTACTGTTGCGAGAGGTACAAAATAGACATTTGAACTCCAAGTAAACTCATCCTGAATCTAAAATTTTCCGTTTTTATACAGGAAATACTTAAGGTAGCAGTTAGAGTATTAATTAACCGTTAGTAAAATGAAATAACATTAGAAATCATTTAATAAGTCACGAAATGAGAGTTCTGGAAAAGATAATACTTAGATAAGAGCTAATACAAAGATAACTTCCCATCGCTCAATAAAATACATTAGTGGTATACTTCGTTTAGTTTCTGTAGCGATGTGACCTTCAGTTTGACCGGCGCAAAGTAGAAAAGAACAGCACTAGGCCAGAAAAGGAAGGAGACAACTCTCGGCCAAACTCTTAACCGGTGAGGAGCGTATAATCCGTAAAAATTGACCATTTTATTCACCACAATTGCATTGCTCAAATGTGCTGTTATTGGTACCATTTACTACTGAAAATATCAACGAGATGTTTATTTATATTTGAAGACATATTAAAGGCTTTATGCTTGTTTTCGACTCGCACTACTATTCATGACTGAACAAAACTTTTGGCAGGTACTGTATGAAAAAGTATGTTTAATGAACAAGAGTCGAGAGTATAATGAGCTTTTTTGTCCCTACCTACAATTTTGCCAGCGCGCATCCAAGACATTGGAAGGGGCACATCGCTAGAGAAAGTGAATGAAGTATAAGTTAAGTATACTTTCGAATAGAAACTATTTAACAATGGTCGAAATTGCGAAAGATATGTAAGAGAAATTTCGAAATAAGTGAAATAGTTTAAACAGTCTTTACTTTTTTTGAACTCAGCGGAATGAATTCTTCGTTTTTGAAAGTTGATTAATACTCAAAACAGAACGCAACACATATGGGTATTTACAATAATAAGCGCCACGTCATCCATGTAACTGGTACTGTTGAAAGCTTCATTGGTGATGACAGCTTCGTTATAATGAGCAGAGGTCTCACTTGACGATTCATAAATGTTTAAATCACCAACAACTACGGTAATGGCACCGGGTGAGGTGTCTCGATCTCGGAAGCAATGAGACGCACACAAAACGACTCTCCTACCGATTATTGTCCCTCCGCAAAAGTGGGAATCCGATATAGAATTTCTTACTGACACCTGCAAAGTTGCGATAGGATAGTTCATCATTATCATAAGGTCGTCAGTCCTAAGACTGACTGGACACGCACCCCCACTCTTTCCTATCCTGAGCTAATCTTCGCATTTCTTTAAAACTAGAACAACCCACATCTTTAACTATTTGCGAACAGTAATCCAATCTAGGTCTACCTCTACCCCTCCTGACTCCTGTTTCTGCCTCTAATATGTGTCTGATTAGACCTTCATGCCTGAGAAGGTGCCCTACCAACCTTAAATTGAAAATTCTGAAAAAGAGGGAAGGTAGAAGACGTCTTGACTTAGAAAAGCTAAAATGTAATGAAACGTGTGATAAAAGGACAGACGATATACTGAGACGCGGATGACAGGGACATGGAGACATGCATTAAAACATGCCTAAAGTCAGCAGCTACAGATATACTAAGTGTTAAACGAAACGAAAGTACGAAACCCTGGATAACAAATGAGGTTTTAGGATTAATAGAAGAAAGGCGCAAATACAAAAACAGGACAGACGAAGAAGGGCTATAAAGTGGGAAATAATAAGGAAGTGTAAGGCAGCTAAGGAATAGCGGATTGATAGGATGTGTTAAGAAGTAGAAGCAAATTTTGAAGTAGGTAGACATGAAGGTCTAGTCAGAGACATATTAGAGGCAGAAACGGGACTTAGAAGGGGTAGAGGTAGACCCAGATTAGATTACTCTTCGCAAATAGTTACGGTTGTGGGTTGTTTTTGTTTTAGGGAAATGCGAAGTTTAGCTTAGTATAGGAAAGAGTGGAGGTACGTGTCCAACCAGTCTTAGGACTGACGACCCTATGATGATGATGTTGATCTGCAAAGATATTGGATTAATGACAGCCACGTGGTGTTTTCATCAATCGCAGTCATTTTCCACCTGAAATAAATGCGTAGCAGATTTTGTTTTATAGGCAGATACATTAGTAATACCTTTGTCGAACATCAAATACCACACTTAACATGATATATTTTGTATCTGCATGTCTACACACAGAAACTTAGGCTTAGCCGCTGATTTATCGAAACCGTCCTGAAAAAGACAAGTGGCGGTCTCGATAAATACCACACCAAAAAATTAATAACCTTCATGACATGATTAATAACAACAACATTTCCAAGTTAGAAAGCGAAATCTGCTATTTTGGCTCACACTGGGGTCCATAACTTCCACCCAACGAATGATTTTATAATAAGTGCGTTAGATACTTAATAAAAAAAATCGGTTGTCTGTGAAGTCGGTTTACTGACGATAGTTGAACGTGACAACGTCATAAGAAAGTACTGATGGAATGGTTTCATTTTTCAAAAGAAAATTTTAATTTTATTTGTTTGATAGATATTTTGTATGGATATAGAGAAAGAGGTAAATGGAAATGTATTATTGTATAGCAGCTGTCCACGCGGACGCATCGCTCACTCAAGTAGGAGAGAGACAGATGTCGAACGCTGCCGAACGCGGAGGCCGATTGTGCCTCTTTGTCGCTCGTTCCGCGCTCTCGCTTGCACTTCAAGCCTTAAATGGAACGCCTCAGGGCGAGGTAACGCCGCATGAGTCATGTTTTTTCGTGCGTGCAGCCACCTCCATCGAATTATAAGACGTTGTCACGTCAAAAATTAGATGCGCCGGATAATGATTTTACTGCGTACCGGGTAAGCGGGTATCCGGCATTAGCTGCGGTTTTAGTTATTTACCAGCCTGTTTGTCGATTTCTTCAGCAGATACGTCCTGATGAGTGAGTAACGTCACATCTGATTAGATGTTGCCCGAATTGATTTATCAGCGTGGAACATTGAAAAGGCGGGAATGAAACAAAGCTAGCACGAGGAAATATTGCGATATCTTTTCATTTATCTACATGTAGGTACTGATAAAATTACTCATTTTTAGATTGCTCTTAACGAACACATGATACTCGATACCAATTTCTTATTGAATCATGTAATGAATGTAAAACAAATAAAAAATTCTTCACTTCACATCTAACGAAAAAGGAATAAAATATGTTCTTACCTGATAAAAAAAATCCGATCTATTTGTTACCAGATAACCGCCAACTATTTTGGTATCATCGACATCTATTAAAGATTGTCCAATAACAGAAACTACCCCTAAAGAAAGAGAGAAACTTTCATTTACAAGTCTTTAAATTCTTATTAAAAAAATTGTACACCATGTAACACTGTTTTAGGAAGTTTTAAGTGCCAATTAAGTCCTGTTTGTCTGCTATTTATTGAACTATTGTCAATAATTTAAAAATAAATGGTGGAAAAGTAAAGAAAGTTTAAATAATATTTGCCAAATATATTTTTTTTCTATAACGTAACAGCATTAACAATTAATATATACTACGATGCAGTTGAATTATTTTAATTAAAGTATGCATCGTTCGAGGGAATGGTTGCATCTTTATAGAGAACTAGACAGAATCTATGTAATAGGTTAAGAGGAACAGCAATCAAGCTCGAAAAGTCTACATTATAGGAAGATTTCGCCGTAAAGAGTGTCATTATTGAGAGTTAACCCTGCACATAAATTTGATGCTAATTATGAATTCAATGAGCAAGTCTGCGTACCGAAACAAATTTTGATTTCTTTTTACTGTCGACTATTTGATCTAGAACAGTTAGTAAGTGTAGTTCAAAGAGCATTTTCGAAATCAGAGTAAATTTAATTTTCTATTGACACATACAGTACTTAAATAAACGTCTAATAATCAATCAATTGCATGTATATATGAGTTTTATATAAGGTACTTTTAATTGTACCTGAAAATTCTATTCAATCATTTATTTAAAATCTGGACGTAAACTTATAAATTAAAATCAAATCAATTCTACTTACCAAATATAACTACAAATAGAAGTTTGGTTATCAACATTATCGCCGGTTTTAAGAAACGCACTCACATCCACGACTTTCACAAAGAGAATTGATTAAAGACCTCAGTTGGAGTCAGATTCTTTAAATATTTTTAAATATCACATTTAACGGATTTATAGTAGCTACATCTCGATGTAGATACTTGTGCCTTATCGTGTGCAATAATCGATAGATAATAATTCAAAGTATTGCGTTATAATGCTTATCATTCATCTATGTATAAGTAATCGTCTACATCATCTTCTAAGCTATGTGAATGTTTCAGCTCAGAAACTTAAGTGAATTTCCATAATTAAAACGTATCACACATTTCGGAGCGTGCAGAATTCGACACTAAACTCAGAGCCTGAATTACAGGGGTACGTTCAGAAACGTCCCCGTGGAAAATAGTGAAATGTGACTCCATTTCGTATCCAGTTTTAACATTAATATGTAATAATGTCATAAATTGTTACTATAAATATTGTAATATAAAAATTTATAGGCGAACCGGAAAAATTCGATCTACTTATTGGGAAAACAATTTTAAAAAATTAGTTCTGCATCATTAATAGCTGCTATAAAGTAACGAACTTAGGTTGATCAAAAACATTTTATGAAACCAGGAATTAATTAATATTTAAGTTAGATTCCGGACTATTAAATTAAGTAGTTTTTTCCAGGGTGGCAGTTACATAATTACAAGCCTGTATGTTTTAACGCTGGAAATAACTACATAAATTACTTAAAACGGTATAATCTAAGCAATATTTATTTATCTACATATTCGTTCCTAAACTAATATTCTAATTATCAATGAGGCTTTTGAAAACCAGAAAGTTCCAAATGGTATACCTACCCAAATCGTTATTTGGAATATTTTTAAACCAATACCTATTGCGAATGATTTTTCATCTCGCTGAAACTGATTATACGCATTTGCGTTATATGCATAGGTAGATAAAATCACTGATGCTCTTCGCATATGTGTTTGTTACTAATTCTTTATTTATTATAAAAATTTGTACATCGTTATTATTTTACTTATTGATTTAGATCATGTACGTCTTACTTACTAATTTCATAACCGATGATTTCCTTAAGATAATATACAATTGAAAACGAACATAGCCACAAGTAATTGCAAACTAACGACGTAAGAAACTGAACTGTTATCGGGAGGAGGTGCATTAGTAGTTGCTGGAGGACCTTCGGTAGAGATTGGAGGGTTTGTATTATCACTAGGGGAAGGAGTAGTGCTAATATCAGGGGGTGAAGGAGTAGTGTTAATATCAGTGGGAGAAGGAGTCGTATTAATATCAGGTGGGGAAGGGGTAGTGTTAATATCAGGGGGGGAAGGGGTAGTATAAGCTGTTGCAGGAGGACTGATAGTTGTGGTTATCGTTATATTTTCGTTTGCAAAATAGTTGGTTAATGCATTTTCTATCCAGTCGTTATAGTACGCCACGTCTGTATAAACACCAGGATAACCATTCCTTGCACATCCTCGTCCCCATGAGACTATTCCAGCCACGCTACCGTCACATACTAGCGGCCCTCCAGAGTCTCCCTAAATCGTTGCAAAAACTATTAAAAGCTTATGTTTCAAAATGGGGACTACAACCCTTACTTTTGGAAAGGTATGTATAGGAAAATGTTNGATGCTCTTCGCATATGTGTTTGTTACTAATTCTTTATTTATTATAAAAATTTGTACATCGTTATTATTTTACTTATTGATTTAGATCATGTACGGATCATGTACGTCTTACTTACTAATTTCATAACCGATGATTTCCTTAAGATAATATACAATTGAAAACGAATATAGCCACAAGTAATTGCAAACTAACGACGTAAGAAACTGAACTGTTATCGGGAGGAGGTGCATTAGTAGTTGCTGGAGGACCTTCGGTAGAGATTGGAGGGTTTGTATTATCACTAGGGGAAGGAGTAGTGCTAATATCAGGGGGTGAAGGAGTAGTGTTAATATCAGTGGGAGAAGGAGTCGTATTAATATCAGGTGGGGAAGGGGTAGTGTTAATATCAGGGGGGGAAGGGGTAGTATAAGCTGTTGCAGGAGGACTGATAGTTGTGGTTATCGTTATATTTTCGTTTGCAAAATAGTTGGTTAATGCATTTTCTATCCAGTCGTTATAGTACGCCACGTCTGTATAAACACCAGGATAACCATTCCTTGCACATCCTCGTCCCCATGAGACTATTCCAGCCACGCTACCGTCACATACTAGCGGCCCTCCAGAGTCTCCCTAAATCGTTGCAAAAACTATTAAAAGCTTATGTTTCAAAATGGGGACTACAACCCTTACTTTTGGAAAGGTATGTATAGGAAAATGTTAGAATAACCTAGACGAACATTTATGACTTAGAAAGTACTACAAATGGCACAGTAAACGCCATCTGTAGCACGATGCTACATTTTAGGATTACGTATGCTCCAACAATGTCCACTTGTGTGGATATCTACTTGCTGAAAACGAATCCCGGCGTAGCCAACCTCAACGTGATAGGCACGTTAGCTTTTTCGAATAAAATAATATTATTTCAGCAAGTAGATATCCACACAAGTGAACCTTGTTGGAGTATACGTAACCCTAAAATGTAGCATCGTGCTACAGATCGCGTTTACTGTGCCATTTGTAGTATTTTCTAAAACGCACTGTTAAGACAGCAGGTAAAAGTTGGTCTGTGTTCTGTCGGAGCTGCCTGCGACGCGCTGATGAGATCCAAAAAGATCGAAATCGCAATCCGCGTCTGGCAGTTTCGACAGAATACAGACCACTTCGAATTATTTTATTTATGACTTAATTGGTTTTCGGCCTGGGGTGTCACTATGTATTCCGTATGCCTTTGGTGTCATAGAATCCGAACTCCTTGACACCTTGGGAATCAGAAGGATATTCTGTTTTAATTTTGTGAAACGCACACCACCAACACTTTCTCTGTAAAATATTGAGCGATATTGTTTCACTGTTTTGATTACGAAGATATAAGGTCATAAGGTTTTAGAGTTAGGGATTTAGAGGATTATGAAGTTATACATTTGGAGAAAGAATTGTTTGGTTAGAAGTTTAAGGTTTAAAATCGTTTCAGATTATCACTTTTAGCGGTTGCAGCGAATTTTGGAGTATTTTTTGCGTTTATATCCAAATCTGACATGCTAGGTTGAAGATGAGCTAGGATTAGGATTCAGTGAACAAACAAAATACTTCAAAACCCCAACGCTAAAACCCGACACTGTAGTTGTCCGAAGCACTTTTCAGTAACAAGGTTACCTTCTTCAGGAACTGAATCAGTCTGTTTGTTCTACAACAACCGCCAAAGTTTTTCCAATCTTCAATTTTAGGATTCAGTGGTCCCAAATGCATACAGTATCTGTACATAGTCAGACCCCCAGGCCAAAATTGTTTTTTGTGTACCTTTTAAATTCTTGTTTGAGTAACGAATTGTTTTTGCAGAAGAAAATATTTGTAAAAATTGTTAACCTGGCAAGAGTCAATTCCTCCTTGCATGGATCCAGCGCACATCATTCCAGGAGTAATGCGAGCCTGGCCATAGTTTGTGGAGCACTCCTGTGTACTAATGATGAGAACGTTGACGTATCTCAAGTCATCAACTACACCACCCCCCTTAAAAATAACAACAATAATTTTAAACGAGGCTGATGATAATAAGTAGTGTCCGACCGAAAGTTCGGTTTCGGTCGAGTTTCAGCAAAAAAACGAGTTTCGGTTTAGTTTCGGTTTCGGCGGCAAACCTGCCGAAACTACGACCGAAATCGAAACTGCGTTCGGGAGTTCTCGCGCTCTGCTCGGTCATGTTCGGCGCGATAAATTGCATCCAAGCAAAGTATACTATACTTACTCAAATAAACATCTCACCTAATTTAAGCATTTTTAAGGCGCAATTAAAGTATTTCCTTAAATTAGGGGTTGTTATGTTGATTTTGATTTGATTATCAATAAGTAAAAATGTCAAAGACTGCAAGCTATGTGATCTAAAGATAAAAAAATAAAACTGACTGATCATAATAACGTTTTCTTTGTTTTTCTCTCAAAGCATGATCCTTATAAGGAAGTTTCGGTTTCGGTTTCGGTTTCGGCCGAAACTGAGACCGTTGCCGAAATTCGGTTTCGGTCGTAAAAACCAGTTTCGGTCGGACACTAATTAATAAGTAATCTTCTAGCACGATTGTTTAATTATTTCATACAACATTCACTGTAAAAAGTTATATTATCATTTTGATTTTAATGTAAAATATTTTAGGTTCAGCCAAATTGGAGTACGTTTTTTCAACTATAACTACAAAGTAGCACAAAATTTTCAGCTTCTCTAACGTATTCCTGATAGAATTTTCAATCGACTATTTCTATCGGTACTCTAGATACGTAAAAATGTTCAACAGAAGAGTAATTAGGTCTAAATCTGAACACGCAATCATGAGCTTCATCATGATCTTGATAACTATCTCCAGGTTAATTTCAAAAATATATTGATCTAAAAATGACCTTAGAGGAAGTTATCAAGCACACTACATGTAATTACTTATTGATAATGAGTACTTATAAATAGATCTTCTAAGATTGAACAGAATAATACAAATCAATCAATTTAAATCGCTTTTCTAAACATCTTACTGAAATTACTGAACCCCATCCGGAAATAGTACAGTTGGATCCTGGCTCAGGTCTTACTAATGCGAGTGGAACGAAATTGACTTTTGAACTCCAAGTAAACTCATCCTGGATCTAAAATTTTCCTTTTTTATGTGGGAAATACTTAGCGTAGTACCTAGAGTATTAATTAACTTTTAGTAAAACGAAATAACATTATAAATCATTTAATATGACATAAAATGTATTTTTGGAAAAGTAATAGAGCAGAGTAAATAATTAGGCAAGAGCTAAGGTAGAGGTAACTTGGCATTACTTTATAAAATATATTAAAGATGAGTTAAAGACAGTTTCGAATAGAAATTATGAAAGAGTTGTAAGAGAAATATACAAATAAAGGAAATAGTTTAAATAGTCTTCACTTTTTTCGTTTTTGAAAGTTGATTAATACTCAAAACGGAACGCAATACATAAGGGTATTTACAATAACAAGCGCTACGTCATCCACGTAACTGGTAATGTTGAAAGCTTGATTGGTGATGACAGCTCTGTTGTAATGAACAGAGGTATCATTTGACGGTTCATAAACGTTTAAATCACCAACAACTGCCCTAATGGCACCGGGAGACGTGTCTCGATCTTGGAAGCAATGAGACGCACACAAAACGACTCTCCTACCGATTATTGTTCCTCCACAAAAGTGCCGATTCCTTGAACCACTTCTTAGTGAAACCTACAAATATATTGCGTTATTGCGAATGGCTCGAAATAGTAAGTAGTAGAGTTGTGTGTTCAACTGGACTTCCGATTGAAGATTTTTAGGTGACGGTGTTGGTTTTATAATGAACACTGAAGGGTTAGATACTTAATAAAAATAAGATGCGTCGGATAGTGATTTTGCCGCGAACCGGGTAAGCGGGTATTTGCTGCGCGTTTTAATAATTTAGCAGCCTGTCTTCGATTTCTTCAGAGATATACTTCGTTTAGTTTCTGTAGCGATGTGACCTTCAGTTTGACCGGCGCAAAGTAGAAAAGAACAGCACTAGGCCACAAAAGGAAGGAGACAACTCTCGGCCAAACTCTTAACCGGTGAGGAGCGTATAATCCGTACAGTACTGCACGGAAAAATTGACCATTTTATACACTACAATTGCATTGCTCAAATGTGCTGTTATTGGTACCATTTGCTACTGAAAATATCAACGAGGTGTTTATTTATATTTGAAGACATATTAAAGGCTTTAACGCTTATTTTCGACTCGCACTACTATTCATGATTGAACAAAACTTTTGACAGGTACTGTATGATAAAGTATGTTTAATGAACAAAAGTCGAGAGTATAATGAGCTTTTCTCTTCCTACCTACGATTTTGCCAGCGCGCATCCAAGGCATTGGAAGGGGTTTATCGCTAGAGAAAGTAAATGAAGTATACGTATTGTACTGATGAGTGAGTGGCATCATCTCTGATTAGATGTTGTGCGAATTAATTTATCAGCGCGGAAATGAGACAAAGCTAGCACGAGAAAATATTGCGTTATCTTCTCAATTATCTACATGTACTGATAAAATTACTCATTTATATATTGCTTTTAATGAAGAGTTGATACTGGATACCAATTTTTTATTGAAACGAATGTACTGAATGTAAAACTAATAGAAAATTCGTGAAAACACGACTTCACATCTAATGAAATAATGAATAGAATATGTTCTTACCTGATAAGCAAAATCTGATCTATTTGTTACCAGGTGACCGCCAACTATTTTTGTATCGTCAACTTCTATTACAGATTGTCCAATAACAGAAGCCACCCCTGAATAGGGAGAGAAACTCATTTAAAAATTTTTAGTCTTTAAATGCTTATTAAAAAAAATTGTTGCACAATGCAATTTTGCTTTGGAAGTGTCAATTATACAAAATAATCAAGTTATGTTTACCATTTATTGAACTATTGTCAATAACTTAAAAATAAATGGTGGAAAAGTAAAGAAAGTTTAAATAATATTTGCCAAATATATTTTTTTTCTATAACGTAACAGCATTAACAATTAATATATACTACGATGCAGTTGAATTATTTTAATTAAAGTATGCATCGTTCGAGGGAATGGTTGCATCTTTATAGAGAACTAGACAGAATCTATGTAATAGGTTAAGAGGAACAGCAATCAAGCTCGAAAAGTCTACATTATAGGAAGATTTCGCCGTAAAGAGTGTCATTATTGAGAGTTAACCCTGCACATAAATTTGATGCTAATTATGAATTCAATGAGCAAGTCTGCGTACCGAAACAAATTTTGATTTCTTTTTACTGTCGACTATTTGATCTAGAACAGTTAGTAAGTGTAGTTCAAAGAGCATTTTCGAAATCAGAGTAAATTTAATTTTCTATTGACACATACAGTAGATACTTAAATAAACGTCTAATAATCAATCAAGTGAACGTAGAATTTTTATCTAAGGTACTTTATAATTTCACCTGGAAAATTCTATTTAATCATTTATTTAAAATCTGGATGTAGATTTATAAATTGAAATCAAATCGAATCTACTTACCAAATATACCTATAAATAGAAGTTTGGTTATCAGCATTATCGTCGGTTTTAAGAACTGCACCTACATCCACGACTTTCTCAGAGAGAATTGATTAAATACCTCAGCTGAAGTCGGATTCTTTAATCAATTTTATAATACCACTCTTAGTGGACTTATAGTTGATCCCTCGATATAGATACTTGTATCATATCGCTTGCAATAATAGGTAGATAATTTTTTAAAATATTGGGCTATAATGCTTATCATTGTTCTACACGTATAAGTAATCGTCTGTCTCGTTTTCTAAGCTGTGTCAGCGTTCCAGTAGAGAAATGTAAGCCAATTGGAACAATTAAAGCGTGCTGTATTTTAGAATCGTGCAGTATTGAAAATTGGATTCGGAGCTTGCAGTCTAGGGGTGGAAAATTGTGAATATGAATCCATGGAACGTCACGTGACCCCATTACGTATCCAATTTTCACATTAATATAAAATAAAGTCACAAATTGTTACTAAATTTTATAATATAAAAAATAACGCGTCAAACATAGTCTACATAGTGTGTCCCAGTTATAATATTTATACCACAGATTCCTACGGACATTTGGAACATAAAATGTTATAACACTTTTGACTTTCGAAACAAAATAAAAAATTATATCAGTTTTGAAGCCGGCTCTGCACAATCGGAAATCGTAGAAAAATTCACCTTCAGTAGGTCGGAATCAGCTGGTTTTTGGGGTGATGTTATTGTTTATGTTTGGTATTAAGTTACGGATCAGCCGAAGAAAATGCACTCGCGTTAAGGTCCATTAGATGACTGAAACACGTTANTATGCATTAACATTACATGATGATGCAGGTGCCTGAAGTCACTGATGCTCTTCGCATTTTTGTTTGTTACTAATTGTTTATTTATTGTAAAAATGTGTACATCCTTATCCGTCAGGCAACTACTTCTTATTTTATATATTTATTTACATAATGTACGTCTCATTTACTAATTACATAATTGATGTTATTTTTATGCTAAAATACAATTGAAAAGAAATATAGCTACAAGTAATTGCAAACTACCGACGTAAGAAACTGAACTGTTACCGGGAGGAGGTGCATTAGTAGTTGCTGGAGGACTTTCAGTAGAGATTGGAGGGTTTGTATTATCATTAGGGGGAGGAGTAGTGTTAATATTAGGGGGTGAAGCGGTAGTATAAATTGTGTTAGGAGGACTGGCGGTTGTGCCTAGGATTTCGTTAGCGAAATAATCAGTTATAGTATTGTCTATCCAGTCGTAAAAGTATGCCACATCAGTATAAATGCCTGGATAACCCGGCAGTGCGCATCCTCGCCCCCATGAAACTATTCCTGCCACGCTATCGTCACACATCAACGGTCCTCCGGAATCTCCCTACATCACGCAAATGAATATTTTAAAAATTCAGCTCAATGTATCTATCCTAAATGTAATTTTGGGATGGTATGTTGTAGAAAATGATTTTGAAATTATCAATTGATTTAAGAAGGTAAATGATCTGCTAAAGACGTAATTTTTGAGCAAATAAATTGTATTTGCAGCAAGTTATTTACTTATGCACTTAGCTGGCGGGATATTGACAATAGCTGAACATATGAAACAATAAACTTCCACTAATGGTCTACTCATGATTGCTAATATGTCTACGTCTAGTAGTTAGACGAATTGCTGATCAAAATTGACATCTTCTATTCACTCAATAAAATAAATTTAAAGTTTATTAACCTGACAAGTGTCAACTCCACCTTCGTCCATAAATCCAGCGCATATCATTCCAGGAAGAATGCGATTTGGCCCATAGTTTGTGGCGCATTCCTCTGTACCAACGATGGGGAGGTAGGCGTACATTAGTTCGTCTACCGTAAAGCCCCCCTTAAAAATAAAATTGCTTGTCAATAATAATTTTAAACGAGGCTTTCAACAGTATTATTTGATTATCTCTGAAAGTTCATCATTCGGATTTTAACGTAAAATGCTCAAAGTCATTAACAAATATAATTTTGCGTTAAAATTAATAATTCAAGGTAGAGAATGAGTGTAGAGGATGAAGATATTAGAAAAAAGAACAAAACGCGATTTAAGATACGTCAAAAGGAGGAAGTGAGCTTGAAGCATGTGTTAGAAGAATGTGAGAATGGTAGGAGGTGGGAGTTAACAAGGAAGGATGGTGGTGAACTAAGCCGTCTAATGGAGATCTTAAAAATGAATATGAGGGCAAAATAGAATGTAGGGAATTAGGTGGGAAAAAACAGTAGAGTAGGGACAGGGATAAGAAGCTGCAAATAATGGATATAATTTAGGATGTAAGCGAATTAATTATTGTTAAAGATCTTCATGGTTACGACGGCAAAATAGAATTTATGGGCAGGGAATTAGGTGAGAAAAAAGAGTAGATAGGGATAGGGATAAGAAGCTGCAAATAATGGATATTATTTAGGGTGTAAGTGAATTAATTATTGTTTATGCAATAGTGTATATAAAAAGATAACTTTTTTAGGTACGCATACAGACAAGTGATTTAATCCTTTTTCCGCAGGAGCAAAATAATATTTAATAATTATGGTCATCTTTTGTCTTTTATCATTATGTATACCCTTAGACACACATTAAAATCATTTAAAAATAAAAAGGTATTTTTTTTTGACCGCGAATGTCATATCTATCAGTTCCTTTGAAGTTTGAACAAACCTATTGATTATTTAGGTACAAATTGCTAAATAACCGATATCTATAAACGAATATTTCTCGTTAGATTGAATGATGTATTTATTATATATTAATTGGTAATTAAATCGTATTTGTAAATATCTTACTGAATACAAAGAGCCCCATCCAGAAATAGTGCAATTGGTTCCTGGGTCAGGTGACACCATTGCGGGTTCTGTCGGAAAGATATTAACGCTCCAGTTAAACCCGTCCTGTAGCTAAAATTTTTTTTCATAACGCAAGTACTTATGATTACATATGGAGTGTTAATTAACTTTCAGTAAAACGAATTAAAATTATTAATTATCATTCCAGCAATTATTTATCTAAGGTGAGTAATAGTACATAGATAAGAGTTAAAATTGAGATAAGCTGCTATATCATTTTATAAGATCAAATATATCTTTAATTATAGAAGAAACACAACAGCAGAAATTTTTCGTTTTTGAAAGTTCAATAAATCTCAATAGAAATCTATTGCATATTTACAATAATTAGGGCTACGTCGTTTTCGTGACTGGTCTCATTATATTCCTCATGGACAATAACATTGTTGTTATAACGAACAACGGTATCGTTCGTCTCTTCAAAAATATATAAATCACCAGCAACTACAGCAATTGCACCGGGAGACGTATCTCTATTAGTAAAACAATGAGCGGCACACAACACTACCCTATCACTGATTATTGTTCCTCCACAGAAGTGCCGATTCCTTGAAGAATTTCTTACTGAAACCTGAAATGATACTGGGATATTAACCACCATATGAGAATCTTCACCACTCATCATTATACAAGTGAAATTATTAATATTAATTCCTGACCATTCATCATCATCGCAAAGTCGTCAATACTAAGACTAGTTGAACTCATACCTCTACTCGTTCCTATTGCATTTCCCTAAAACTAGAACATCCCACATTCCTAGCCATTTGCGAACAGTAATCAAATCAAAATCTATCTCTACTCCTTTTAACTCCTGTTTCTACCTCTAATACGTATCTGACTAGCCCTTCATGCCTGAGAAGATGTCTTACCAACCTAACTCGCCTATTTTTTATTGACTAAAGTGGAGTCCCCGTTCTCCTATTCTCTCTAATATCTCTTCATTTTTAACCTTCTCTATCCACGGTATCCTCACCAATCACATGTAATACCACATTTCGAACGCTTCTAATATTTTTTTTTGCTGTGCCCACCGTCCATCTTTCACACCCATACAGGTTTAACAATCTTTTTCAAATTTTTTAATTTAATCGTTCGCAACCATAGAAGTTACTTCTTTTTATTGAAGGCGACTACCGCCATCTAGTAGGTATTTGTTGATACTGAACTATTTCATGTGTTAGACAAAGCCTTTCTAATGTGCCTAATTGAATCGATATGGCTTATATATGCACTACTAACATTAACATAACAGCCCTTTAGATAATAATCAAAAATAAAAATCCTTAAGGATAAATAAATATGCATCTCGTATGTTTATAATGTCGCAAATACCAGATTTATTTCACGAAATAAACTAATTAAGCAAAATAATGAACAATGTATATCTAGTTGAAAAATTTCATAATAATTACTAATTATTTGGCGTGGTAATTGTTTGAGCAGACTGGTTTTGTTATCATAAGTATGTCCTCAAGTGTGAATGATGTCACACCAGATTAGGAACAATATAAATTAATTGATCAGCAAGAAGCATCGAAACGGTGGGAACGGAGCTATCCGAAAAAAAAAACTATCACAAAAAGATATTCTGTTATCTCTATCGTTACATGTACCTAATTAGGTACGTATTGTTAGAATTTTATTACAAAGAAATGATACTCGTGGATATACTGATAAAATTTTCGTACAAATTGATGTAATCAATGCAAAAATTAAAGAAAGTATTTAACCAGACAATTATATCCTTACCTGAAAAGCAAAATCGGATCTATTGAGAACCATTTCACCACCAACTATTCTTGTACCATCATCATCATTAACGTCTGTCAATGATTGTCCAATGACGAAAACTACCCCTGAATAGGAAGACAAACTTTTATTTACAGGTTTTTCAAACCTTTACAGCCCTACATACACTTAACAAAAAAGCAATTAAGCTAAAGTAAAGTATACGTTATTGGGAGTTTTCACCGTAAAGAGTGTCGTTATTGAGAGTTTACCCTACACATAACTTTGAGGCTAATTCAATGAGCATGTCTGCGTACCTAAGCAAATTTTTATTCCTTTTTATTGTCGAGCATTTGGTCGAAAATAATCAGAAAGTGTCGCTCAGAGAATTTTGAAAATCAGTGTGAATTATTTTTTATTAATTTACAAAAATATTATACACAAGTTTTGATTTAATCATATGAGTACCCAAATAGTAGGAAAGCTGGAGAAATACCTAATAAGAAAAAGGCTGAAGCTAAATAGTGAAAAATAGAAGTTCATGGTAGTTGAGCAAAAGAGAGGAGAAAGGTGAAAGGGAAAACACAAGATAGTACCAAAGGGATGAATTAATTTTTTATGGACACATAAAGTATTTAAATAAACGTCTAATAAATAATCAATCAGTTACATGTAGAATTTTTATATAAGGTACATTATAATTTCACCTAAAAATTCTATTTAATTATCTATTTAAAATATGGATGTAGACTTATAAATTAAAATCAAATTAAATCTACTTACCAAAAATAACTATACATAGAAGATTGGCTATCAACATTTTCGTCAGTTTTAAGAAATGCACCTACATCTACGACTTTCTCAAAGAGAATTGATTAAAGACCTCAGTTGAAGTCGGATGATTAATTAATTTTAAAATATCATTTTTTGTGGATTTATAGTTTATGTGGATATAGGTACTTGTGCCATATCGCATTCAATAATTCGATAGATAATTGTTTAGAACATTGGGCTGTAACGCTTATCATTCTTATACGTCTAAGTAATCGTCCATCTCGTTTTGTAAGCTGTGTGAGCGTTCCAATTAAGAAATTTAAGTTAAGTGGCACAAGTAAAATGTGTCATACTTTGGAAGCGTGCAGTATTGAAAATTGAATTCAGAGCTTGTAGTCTACGTGAAAAATTGTGAAATGGATTCATGTGATCGTCACGTGACCCCATTTCGTATCCAGTTTTCACATTAATATAAAATAAAGACATAAATTGTTACTATAAATCGCTGGTATGCAAGGGAAGAAAAAATAGGGAAAGAGCGAATATAAAGATAGGAGACGAAAAATTAAAAGATAGATATCTAGGAAGTCAGATATGTCAGGACGGAAGGAGTAGTAGGGATATAAAGCAGAGAATAGCGCAGGGTCGTGTCGCTTTTAATAAAAAGAAGTCACTTCTATGATAGCGAACGGTTAATTTAGAAATTCGAAAAAGATTGTTAATGGTGCGTTTGGAGCGCGGCGCTGTACGGGTGTGAAACATGGAGGGTGGGCGCGGCGGAAAAGAAAAGATTAGAAGCCTTCGAGATGTGGTGTTATAGGCGAATGATGAGGATAACGTGGACAGAAAAGATTAGAAATGAAGAGGTATCGGAAAGAATAGGAGAAAAGAGGACTCTGGAAGTCAATAAAAAATAGGCGAGATAGGTTGGTAGAACACCTTCTCAGGCATGAAGGTCTAATAAGAGACATACTAGGGACAGAAACAGGAGTTTGAAGGGGTAGACCTAGATTAGATTACTAATCGCAAATAGTTAAGGATGTAGGTTGTTCTAGTTTTAGGAAAATGCGAAGATTAGCTCAGAATAGGAAAGAGTGGAGGTATACTTCGTTTACTTTTTGTAGCGACCTTCAGTTTGACCGACGCAAAGTAGAAAAGAACAGCACTAGGCCAGAAAAGGAAGTAGACAACTCTCGGCCAAATTCTTAACCGGTGAGGAGCGTATAATCCGTACAGAACTGCACGGAAAAATTGACCATTTTATCCACTACAATTACATTGCTCAAATATACTGTTATTGGCGACATTTACTACTCAAAATATCAACGAGATGTTTATTTATATTTGACGGCATATTAAAAGCTTTAACGCTTGTTTTCGACTCGTGTTACTATTCATGATTGAACAAAACTTTTGGCAGGTACTGTATGATAAAGTATGTTTAATGAACATGAGTCTAATGATCTTTTTTCTCCCTACCTACGATTTTGCCAGCGCGCATCCAAGACATTGGAAGGGGCACATCGCTAGAGAAAGTGATTGTTGTATACGTATGCAACCAGTCATAGGACTGACGACCTCATAATGATGATGATAAAAGAAGTTCCATAAGCAAAATTTTATAAAACGAGGAATTAATTAAAATATTATAATCCAAACAATACTTATTTTTCTACATTTTCGTTCCTAAAAGGATATTGTAATTATTATCAGTGAATGCCTATTGCGAATGATTTTTCATCTCTATGATATGCATTTACATTACATGATGATACACGTACATGAAATCACTGATGCTCTTCTCATATTCGTTTGTTACTAATTCTTTATTTAGTGTAAAAATTATTTTATGTATTTATTTACATAATGTACGTATTATTTACTAATTACATAACTGACATGATTATTATGTAAAAATACAATTGAAAACAAGTATAGCCACAAGTAACTGTATACTAACGACGTAAGAAACTGAACTGTTATCGGGAGGGGGTGCATTAGTGGTTGCTGGAGGACTTTCAGTAGAAATTGGAGGGTTTGTATTATCACTAGGGGAAGGAGTAGTATTAATATCAGGGGGTGAAGGAGTAGTGTTAATATCAGATGGAGAAGGGGTAGTGTTAATATCAGGGGGTGAAGCGGTAGTATAAATTGTGTTGGGAGGACTGGCGGTTGTGCCTAGGATTTCGTTAGCGAAATAATAAGTTATAGTATTGTCTATCCAGTCGTAAAAGTGTGCCACATCTGTATAAACGCCTGGATAACCCGCCTCTGCGCATCCTTCTCCGAATGAAACTATTCCTGCCACGCTATCGTCACATATTAACGGCCCTCCAGAATCACCCTAAATCATGCAAACGAATATTAAAAAAATTTAGGTCAACATGTTCATCAAAAATGTAATTTTGGGACGGTAGATTGTAGAAAATGATTTTTGACTCATCAGTTGATTTTAGAGAGTAAATGATCTGTTGAAGACATACTCTTTGAGCAAATAAATTATATTTGCAGCAAATTATTTAATTATGTATACTTCGTTTACTTTCTGTAGCGATGTGACCTTCACTTTGACCGTCGCAAAGTAGAAAAGAACAGCACTAGACCAGAGAAGGAAGGACACAACTCTCGGCCGAACTCTTAACCGATGAGGAGCGTATAATCCGTACAGTACTGCACGAAAAAAATGACCATTTTATCCACTTACAATTGCATTGCTCAAATGTGCTATTATTAGTACCATTTACTACTGAAAATATCAACGAGATGTTTATTTATATTTGAAGACATATTAAAGGCTTTAACGCTTGTTTTCGACTCGCACTACAATTCATGATTGAACAGAAAAAGTATTTTTAATGAATAAGAACCGAGAATATAATGAGACATTGGAAGGGATACATCGCTAGAGAAAGTAAATGAAGTATACTTAGCTGGTGGGATATTGACTATGACTGAACATATGAAACAATAAAATTCCACTAATGGTCTACTCAAGGTAAAGGTACGAGTAAAGTAAATTGTGAGTTGGTAAACGAGCAGTAAGTAATACGTTTACATCTTGTAGTTAGACGAATTGCTGATCAAGATTGGCATCTTCTATTCACTCAATATAATAATTTTAAAACTTATTAACCTGACAAGAGTCAACTCCACCTTCCATTAATCCAGCGCATATCATTCCAGAGAGGATGAGATTCTGCCCATAGTTTGTGGCGCATTGATCTGCACTTACGATGGGGAGGTTGACGTACCTTAGTTGATTTACCGTAGGACCGTCCTTAAAAGGAAAGATGCTTGTCAATAATAATCATTTCAAACGGAGTTCTTTGATCACTATTGTTTGATTATGTTTGAAAGTTCACCATTTGCATTTTAACGTAAAATGTTCAAAGTTATTAACAAATATAATTCTACATTAAAACTGAAGTACTTCGGAGGTGTCCTGGTTAGGGTCTAAAGGCCGGCGTCGGTTTATTTGGTTACGTTAGAAAATCGGAGATGGAAGGACCTCTGGAGAAGCTTCAGGCGCACGGTAGCGAAACGTTAGGAAGCAAATCCAATCGACGACGACCTTTAGACTCGAATCAGAACAGCATCAGTTCAACAACTGGGTGCGAAATTTGAATATGGTATCATAATATTAATGTAAAGAAAATCATGTCGTTTTTTACATATAGCGTTGGTTACATTGAATAATTTAGAATACTTCGTTGATTGACTAATTTTAGTTTAACCTAATATAGACTATCGCAACCCTTAATTTCAATTTAGAAATTTTAAGTTAGATAGCCAACAATTTTTTATATGCACAAATCGGTTGTATAGTTACTCAAAAGCATAAGCCTATTGTTTAAACAAAAAGAATGTAAACAAGTTATGATTTAATCTTATAAGTACACAAATAGTAGGAAAGCTTGAGAAATACCTAATAAGTAAAAGGCTGGAACGAAATAAGTGAAAAATCGAAGATCATGGAATTTGGGCAAAACAGAGGAGGAAGGTGAAACGGAAAGCACAAGGTAGTACGAAAGAGAGCGGATTATAGAAAAGGTGAAGAAGTATTCTTACATAATGTAAGTCAAGTGGTTAAAGGGAAGACCATGATGGAAAGGCTATGGGATTTAGGCCAGAAATTATGCAAGGAAGATTGGGGTAGGAGATTGATGACGTTATTTAATGTGATTCTAAGGAGTATAACGTTTTATGGATCGGAAACATGGGCATGAGAAGAAAAATAGAATTGTTAGAAGGGAGACAAAATGTGGAAGGATGTGGAAAGATGCAATAAAAAAAGGAATTAAAATAATAGGAAAAGTTGGGAAGGCTGTAAGAGCGGGATATAAGGAGGGAAATGTGGAGGAAGAAGGTAATGGAAATAGGGACCAGAGGGACGTTGATGATTTTAAAAATCAAGCAGAAGCAGATGAGGCAGTGGTTCAGGGAACGGACATATAGATGCAGAGAAATAATAAGAGGGGAAGATTTAAGAAAAGTAAAGAGGTCTACATATGTGGTGGGTGTAGAAGAGATAATATTGAGGGACTGGTGGGGCGCATGAGACTGGGTGACAAGGTATATAGAAAGAGGGAAGAAAATAAGTGTAATGGCAAGATTTAAGACAGGGAATGAGTGTAGAGGAACTAGATACTGGAAAAAATAAGAAGAAAAGACGGTTTACGTGAAAGGGAGGAAGAGTGTTTGAAGCATGTGTTAGAGGGATGGGACATGGGAGTAAATAAGGGAGGATGGTGGTGATCTAAGTCGTCTAATGGAGATCTTAAGGAATACGAGTGCAAAATAGAATGTATGGGCAGAGAATTAGGTGAGAAAAAATAGTAGAGTAAGGATAGAGATAAGAAGCTGCAAATAAAGGATATAATTTAAGCATGTGTAAACTGAAAGTGTGTTTTTATCTGGCTAAAGGATTGACGCTTAGGGTATAAGCGAATTAATTATTGTTTATGTAATAGTGTATATAAAAAGATAAGTCTTTTAAGTACACAAATAGGTAAGTGCTTTAATCCTTTTTCCGCAGGACCAAAATGATATTAATTATTGCCATCTTTTGTTTTTGAAGTGAAACTTCTTTACGCACGGTAGGGTAAGTTCGTTTCATGCGAGTTGCTATGTAACGAAATCATGCAACGGATGTTTCGTAGCGGGAATCGCTTGAGCCGTGTGCGCGCTTCAATGCAACGTTCGTTACAGGCAACTCCGGCATGTATAGTGTAAAATTTAAATTCATTTTGTACAAATAATACCATTAAACCAATTCCATAACCCCTATCCCGGTATGTTTGTGTGTTTGAAGAAGTTTCACTTCAGTAACGTGTTGTATAATTACACGTTGTGTTTTTTATCATTAAGTATACCTTTAAAAACGCATGAAAATAATAATTATTTTTCTGTTATTGATTATTTTTTTCTTGGCCGCGAATGTCATGTCTATCACTTCCTTTGAAGTTCGAACAAACCTATTAATTATTTAGATACTTATTGATAAATAATGTATATCATTAAACGAATACTTCTCTTTAAATGGCATGATGTAATATAAATTAATAACTAAATCGTATTTGTGCAGATCTTACTTCAAACATAGAACCCCATCCAGAAACAGTGCAATTGGTTCCTGGGTCAGGTGACACCATTGCGGGTTCTGCCGGCAAGATATTAACGCTCCAGTTAAGCGCATCCTGAAGCTAAAACTTTTTCTTTTATAACGCAAGTACTTATGATTACGTATGAGTATTAATCAACTTTCAGTAAAACGAAATAAAATTATTTTTATCACTGTTCCAGCAATTATTCACCTAAGTAGAGTAATAGTACATAGATAAGAATTAAAATTGAGATAAGCTCGTATATCACTTTATAAGATCAAATATATCTTTAGTTATAGAAGGAACAGAAGGCTCTAAGAAGTCAACAAAATTTAACAAACAACACGAAATTTTCTAGATTTCCTGAGTTAGAATTGCCCCAAATGTCAAGAATACTTCGACCAACACGATTATTGAGTACTTTGATTTTATTTATACTTAAAATATTGACACATTAGATTTATATAAATACGATATTAAGATCCTGAGGGAATACTGAAAGAAAATCAAGGCACTATCAAGATCACTTGCACGAGAACAACTCAAGTATAAAAGACAAGGTAGAATTTTCATAATTTTTCAGTGACAAAGAAAATATCTATGCCATTGTCACAGAAGTTTTAGAAATGAACGTGTTTTTTCTTCCCAAAAAAATAGAAAAGTCATATTCGAAAGTAGTTTGTACATTTTTCATAATAAATTTTTGAAGTAATTTTCGAAAGATAGGCCTTTCCAAGAGTTATTAGGGAGTGCATATTCATATTTATAATTAAATTTAATCAACATTTGTAAAGCCCTGTTCCCATTTTAATTATCTATGGAAAAACAAAATGTCAGTGAGATCAATACTTGATACTATATCTTTTGAACTCAGCAGAAATCTTTCGTTTTTGAAAGTTCATTAAATCTCAATAGAAATCTATTGCATATTTACAATAATAAGGGATATGTCGTTTTCGTTACTGGTCCTATTATATTGTTCATGGACAATAACATTTTTGTTATAACGAACGACGGTATCGTTTGTCTCTTCAAAAATGTATAAATCACCAGCAACTACAGCAATTGCACCGGGAGACGTATCTCTATTAGTAAAGCAGTGAGCGGCACACAACACTACCCTTTCAGCGATAATTGTTCCTCCACAGAAGTGTCGATTCCTTGATGCATTTCTTACTGAAACCTGAAACGATACTGGGGTATTAACCGCCATATAAGAATCTTCACCACTCGTAATCATTTTATAAGTGAAATCATTTAAATTCCCGACCATTAAGAATTTATTAATTAAGTTTGTTTGCAGGTAAGCTGCGATAGAGTTTAAAAAGTACGTGGTGAGGCCTTTGCCGAACACATAATAGACTACAGTTAGCAGTAAATATCAGTAGGTGGCGCTAAACTGCCAATAATATGATGTTGCATCAAGGTGCTTTCTGGTGGTCTCGACCAATTACCTACCAACCGTTGAAATGGTCATATTATTGCCGATAGCTTTTGTAAGTTTGTGCTTTGAGAGAAAACATATAGGTACAGGTACTATTTCTTTGTTTAGGGTGGCTCACACGCTCACACATTATAAATGACAAAACGGATAGCATAAGAAAGAAATTAAAAGAAAATACTCAAGTACATGCAGTCTACCGCCATCTAGCAGGTACTTCCTGATATTGAACTATTTCATGTGTTAGACAAAGCCTTTCTAATGTGCCCAACTGAATCGATATGGATTATTTACGCACTACTCACATTCATTATTAGTGGTCCTTTAGGTAATAATCAAAAATAAAAATCCTTAAGGATAAATAAATATGCATCGCAGATGTTCGTAATCTCGCAAATACCAGATTTATTGCACGAAATAAATCTATTTTGCAGAGTAATGTACAATGTATATGTAGTTGATAGATTTCACAACAATTACTAATTTTTTGGTTTGGTAATTATTTTAGCAGACTGATGTTGATATCATCAGTACGACCTCAAATGATGTCACACCAGATTAGGAACAATATAAATTAATTGATCAGCAAGAAGCATTGAAATGGTGGGAACGGAGCTATCCGAAAAAAGCTATCACAAAAAGATATTCTGTTATCTCTATCGTTACATGTACCTAATTAGGTACTTACTGTTCAAATTTGTTTTTCAATAAAATGATACTCGTGATGTACCAACCGATAAAATTTTCGTACCAACTGATGTAATCAATGTAAAAATTAAAGAAAGCACATTTTCACCAGAAAATGATGTCCTTACCTGAAAAGGAAAATATGATCTATTGACTACCGCTTCACCACCAACTATTCTTGTATCATCATCATCAACGTCTATGAAAGATTGTCCAATGACGAAAACTACCCCTGAATAGGAAGACAAACTTTTATTTACAGGTTTTTAAAACCTTTAAAGCCGTACACACTTAACAATAAAGTCGTATATACACTTAACACAGTTTACTTGATGCAAAATTAGCGCAATGAAATTAAGGATGCACAGACCGAGTGTTCAAAATGGTATGCTATGTGAAGGATCATTATCATTTATAATCTAGGTTTTCCTTTGCTGCAAGATGCAGCTGAAATTTATACCGACATTAGAAATAATTCATGTTTTAAAATTAAACTGTATGCTATTGGGATCGCTGAATCCAAGCCCCAACAGGGTAGGTTTTAGATATAACCTCAAAAACAGTTCAAAATCTACTAAATCGTTAAAAAAACATTTGGACCTTATGGTCGGATCATGTATACCGTATGTTTTTAGGGTCGCTGCATTTAAATCCGTGACTAATTTAACTACAGGACATCAGATCATCAGATCATCTACAACCTAACCTAACCTAACCTCAAAAAATACTCCAATATTCACTATAACCGTTGAGCATGATAATCCCAAACGATTTAAAACCTAAAACCCGTAGGCGATCGAATTATCCACTAATCGTATGACTTCATAATCTTTAATTTTTTAACCCTAAAATCTTATGACCTGATAACCCTTCATCCCCGTAATCAAATAAAAAGTATTGCTTAGATTCCATAAAATTAAAGATACCTCCCAGCGGAACTCAGTTTCATTATTTTAATTACAGGGATATATGGTTATGGAGTCGTGTTTTAGGGTTAGGGGTCTAAGGAATTATGGAGTTATTCATTTAGATGGGGAGTTGATTGGTTAAATGTTTTTGGGATTATTATGATTACCAGTTTCAGTTGATTTTAGAGTGTTTTTTGAAGTTAGGTTCAAACCGTGACGTATCTGGGTTAAAATGACTTCCGACTTACCGATCTCAAAAACATACCGTGTACAGATCCCCTGCCGAAAAATTCTTTTTGTTGCTACTGTAATCTTTCGTAGCTTAGTGATAGAACAATGGTACATATTTATTATTTTTTCATTGATACTTAGCATATTTGAAAGAATTACAACTAATTAATCAGCTGTAGGCAGTATTTCAATATCAAGTACTCATCACCACTTATTGAAAGTGTCTCATTTTCAAATTGCACTTAAAAACTTCATAATTTATATAATATATATGGGTTTACACTTATACTTATGTTAAATTAAAGTCAAATCGAATCTACTTACCAAATACAGCTATGAATAACAATTCAGTCTTTAACATTTTCGTTGGTTTCTGAAAACGCAGCTACATCCACGACTTTCCCAAACAAAAATGATTAAAAACCTTATAGTTAAGGTAGCGTACACCAGCCAATTTAAAAAAAATCAGATTTAATAGATTCATAGTATACCCTGATATAGGTACTTGTAACATTGTAATTCGCTGTGATAAAGAGATAACTTCTTTAGATTAATTTATTGAGCATTTCTCTATAGTCATCTATTGGCGTATAAACTGCGTGCGCGTTTCAATTGAAAAATTTAAGTTAATTGGCACACTCAAATCTTATCACACATTGAAAGCATGCAGCATTCACGCATTGATATACGCAAGAGAGACCAGACACTTTGACGCATTTGGAGTAGCGATGAGAAATATCTTAAAATATTCCGGACTGCGAAATGTGCTAGGGGTTGATTTTATTACATACAGATTCTATAATTAGGACGATCAAAATTGGTCCATGTTAAATTATCTGTGACAATGGACGTATTTTCTTTCTTGTTCTCACTTGGGATATTTGCTGCGTTTTGAACACTCCCTTGTTCAGTTAGGAAATGCTTCATCAGTAGTACAAACAAAATGAAAAGAGATAACCGAATAATAATAAGCAGGGGTGCAGCGAATAGAGGTTGGTTAGGTACGCAAAAAATCAGGGTCGACTTTGATATGAACAACACTGTAGATTGTATTTACATATTATAAAAGAAAAGAAAAAGAACCGCAACATAGTGGAATATTTGATTATTAAATATTATTTACAACAGGAACGAAACCCATACGATTTTAAACTACCTCTACCTTGGTAGACTTATAATTTTGGCTAGAGGGGCCACAGTATAAATGAAGTGTTAGATCGACGAAACGTCTGGACCTATTAATGCATTTTGAACATGGCTCTTGTCTTGTCACTTGTAATCTATTTGTAAAATTGTGCAAAACTCTGAATTGCTTTACACTTCTAGTATTGTTGTTGACACCGAAATAGTTCAAATGTTGACGAAAAATAAACAGCTTATTGTCCTTTTGAAAATTTAATAAGAAAACTCTAATTATTATAAAAATGTATAAACGTCTACATGGCTATTGTCAGACAGCTACTTATTATTTTATTTATTTGTCATTTGTCTTAATGTCTTACATATTACTGTTCTTACGCTAAAATACAATTGAAAACAAATAAAATCAGAAGTAATTGTAAACTACCAAAACAAGAACCCGAACTGCCGTCAGCAGAAGGTGGAGGAACTGGTGTAGTTGTAGTTCCGAAATAGTTCTCTAAAGTAGTTTCTATCCAGTTGTTATAGTATGCCACGTCTGTATAAACACCTGGAAAACCCTCCCATGCACAGCCTAGCCCCCATGAAACTATCCCTGCGACGCTTCCATTACATACCATCGGTCCTCCAGAATCACCCTAAATCATTTCAACAAACATCTTAAAACTTTAAGACATCTTATTTCTCATAATTAAGACGACAACTGATGCTTTTAGAGAGATACACAGTGGCAACGTAATGATCATCATTCATTTTTTGAGTCAATTGATTTCAGATATTAAATGATCTGTTATTGAAATTTTCTATAGTAAGAGAAACCAAGAGATAATTTTTAAATATATATTATCGGGCAAGATCCCAGAGGCGCTAGACCTTACTTATTTTCTGAGTAACAAAATTGATGGGAAATAGTAGTTTTAGTATGTACATAAAAACACTTTTGGGTGTTTTATTCCTACCAGCCAATAGTGCTGGTGGACAGGCAGTCCTTTCGGCCGGAAGGCTTTCTTCAGCTTCCTTTCAGGATTCGTGGAAATGGGTGGCTGGTAGTTCGGGTGAGAAAGATAAGATGGACGAAATGACGACAGAAGAAAATGAAAGATTACCTGTAGAACATTACTACCCCAGTGTTTGCCTGAGTGATCAAAGGAAATCACAGAAAAACTTGGACCATGGCAGTCGGACCCGGAATCGAACTGACGTCCTCCTGAATGACTAAATTGCAGATATCAGGTGCTAAAGGTACGCAAAAACATTAGTTACTTTTCTTAAAGACTCAGTGCTGATTTTTACCTAATGTATATACCATTAACACTAGCAGACCCTTCCGATCGGCGGTAATTTCTGCCAGACGCTTCAAAGTTCTCAAAAAAAAATCGTAATCTTATAGTCCGAATTTTCATTTTTAAATATGATACTTAGAGAACTACTTCAATTATTATTATTATAAACAGTCAAACCAATTGTAGGAACCAAACATTCCCCAGACACAATTAAAATGTTGTTGTAGGTAAAAGCGCGAGTGCGATAATCAGATGGTTTTATAACACAACAATATTTTAATTATGCCTGGGAGATGTTTAGTCCCTACAATTGGTCTGGCTGCTTACAAAAGTATTGAAATGGTTCCCTAAGTACCATATTTAAGTATGAAAACTCAAACTATAAGTAAAATTACGATTTTTCTTGTACCGTCTGAAATTACCGCCGATGGAAAGTGTGTCAGTGTTGATTATGACCTTTTTTTGAGGAAAATTATCTTAAAATCAACACACAGACTTTAAAAAAAGTGACTAATATTGTTACAGTCCGTTTCAATTTGTTAGAATTGTGACCTTGAAGAAATCTGCGCGAAGATAGAAAGAATACACACTAGGCGTGAGCAAGATAGAAACAGTTGAAACAAACTTAAACGAGCAGAGCTCTCGATGGGCGGTCTTAGAAGATCGGCTAGAACTGTACAGTACTAGACGAAAATGTTTAGCAATTTCTTAAAATAAAAATGTATATAAATTAACAACAGAAAACAAAGCAAAAGTTTTATAGGTGTGTAGAACGTTAAGTTAATTCACTTTTATTTATTATTTTTGGCTAAATACGCTTTTAAATAAAGCGTATTCTTAAATTTTAACGAGGCAGTTTAAATAATTTTGCAAATGGTACTGTACACTTTGGTCTAGTTCTCGCTCGATGATCGGTGGAGAAATGAGTTCCGCAGGCAAATATGATTGAATTTGGAATTATGCTACGACGCATCCTAATAAAGGGAAGGGTCATATCTCTAACTTCATAAAACGAACAGTACATGCCTTTAGCATCTGATAACTTTGCCATCGACCCATGTTAGCAGGTATACATACGTTCAAAGTAGGTACTAAAAGTACCCTTTCCCACCCATTTTATTACTCAGATAATCAGTTTACGCTGCAATTTTTAATATACAAACAACAAAACTTTTTAAGGATTGCTACATATAGAGACTTATATTAAAAGATTAGTGACTATTTGGTAAAATATTCGACATTTTAAAATTTATCGGCAAATCCAAAAACGCTGCTTAGTAGGTACCCATCCGAAATAAATAATTTTCTTGCAAGACTAACTGATATATATCCTATTTCATGTATTTGGTGCAAGAACACACTATAATAAACGTATGTATGTTTTCATTTTAACTTTAGTATCAAATGACTTATTCGAATTGCCGATGAAGATTAGGAATTTGTTATCAGACTTTAAAGGGTTGGAAAAATAATTGTTAAACTTGTTAACCTGGCAAGAGTCAATTCCTCCCTGCATAGATCCAGCGCATATCATTCCAGGAGTAATGCGACCCTGTCCATAGTTTGTGGAGCACTCCTCTGTACTAATGATGAGAACGTTGGCGTATCTTAAGTTATCAACTGAACCACCCCCCTTAAAAATAACATGATACAGTTAATAATAATTTTAACCGAGACTAATAATAAATAACCTTTTAGCACTATTGTTTGATTATTTATTTCTGAATGCTCACTGGATTTTAATGGAAGATGTTTAAAGATACTAACATATAAATACAAGTATAATTTTATCCTTAATTAAATTTGGATATAGATAACAGTGCACTATAAGCAATAAGAATTTCTTTTGGATTATACTCCTTAAAATGTCCAACTAATTATATTATTATAACCCGAAACCCAAATATATAAGCAGTTGAAAGATTTTCATTTTGTGTTTTTATTTAATCTACTAGCGTACCAAATGATACACGAACCGTAAATCTAATTACGTAATTATCGATAAGCTGACGTGACTTATTGATTCCAAGGTAGAATTGGAATTAAATGAATCATATTTAAAGTTATATATCTACAGTTTACACAAAAATGTGCACAAGTCAAAATGTTATCTTATCTAGAAGATAAAATAATATAGATATGTATTTCAATCGTATTTCGGCAAAATCAGAAGGAAATTGTGGTAATCTTTTCTCTAATCATTAACTATAAGTTTAATTCACTTTAAATCATTTAAGAGCAAAATGTTTTCTTTCTTAATCGTCAAGCTCTTACCACTGTCTTTGGAGCTTGAGCAAACATACTAACTACTTATTGATAATTAATGTTTCTAATCAGTACTTTTTAGGTTGAAAAAAAAATAATATAAATCAATAATTAAAATATATTTGTAAACATCTTACTGAATACGTAGAACCCCATCCAGAAATAACGCAATTAGTTCCTGGGTTAGGTCTTACAGTTGCGGGTGGTACGAAGTAAACATTTATGTTCCAATTGAACTCACCCTGAATCTAAAATTTTTCATTTATGTCGCTAGTACCACTTAAGAGGTGGTACATGGAATATTAATTGACTTTCAGTAAAGCGAAATAAACTTAGTTATCATAAAACAAATCATGGAATTTCACTGATTATTAGTGGTACAAGTATAGGTACATAGGTAAGAGTTAAAGGGAGTAGACTTCATCATCATAGGGTTGTCAGTCCTAAGTCTAGTTGGACACGCACCTCCGTTCTTCTCTTTTCTATCCTGAGCTAATCTACGCATTTCACTAAAACTAGAACAACCTACATCCTTAACTATTTGTGAACAGTAATCTAACCTAGGTCTACCTCCACCCCTCCTAACTCCTGTTTCTGCCACTAGTATGTCTCTGACTAGACCTTCAGGCCTGAGAAGGTGTCCTGCCAACCTATCTCGCCTATTCTTTATTGACTTCCATAGAGTCCTCTGTTCTCCTATTCTTTCCAATACCTCTTCATTTCTAACCTTTTCTACCCACGTTATACTCATCAATCGCTTATAACACCTCATTTCGAAGGCTTCTAACCTTTTCTTTTCCGCCAATATTTCGCACCCGTACAATACCGCGCTCCAAACATACACCTTTCACAATCTTTTTAGAATTTCCAAATTAACAGTTCGCGAGCATAGAACTGACTTCTTTTTATTTAAGGCGACACGACCCTGCGCTATCCTCTGCTTTATATCCCTACTACTCCTTCCTTCAGGACTGACTTATGTCGTATTTTTTTGAAAGTATTGTAAAGAAAAATGCAATGCAATAATTTTTTTTGTATGAAAAATCATACATTGGACAAACAAAAAGACACTCATCGGTTAGGATTCGTTAACATCATACGATCATTGGAAAACCGTTTCAAATTGAAAATTGCAACTAAAATCATTTTTCTAGAAAGTCTAACAATATTTTGAAGTCTATTAGACATTTTCAAAACAAAAAAGCCTTTTCAAGAAATATTACAGGATGTATGACTAAATTGTCATGTTTGTAGTCAACAATTAAATTCAATCAACATTCAAAGATTTCAGTTTTCCTTTTGATTACATCAATAAGATCAGTAGGTACTTAATATTACCTTTTAAACTCAATAGAAAGAATTTTTCGTTTCTGAAAGTCAATTAAAACTCAAAATGGAAAGAAAAACGTATTTACAATAACAAGCGCTACGTCATCTTCGTAACTTGTACCGTTAAAATCTACATTGCTAATAACAGCTTCGTTGTAACGAACTACAGTATCATTTGACGGATAAGGAATGGATAGATCACCGGCAACTATAGCAATGGCACCGGGGGATGTATTTCGATCTTCGAAACAATGAGCGGCGCACAACACGACCCTTATAGAGATGATTGTTCCTCCACAAAAATGGAAATGTGATACAGCATTTCTTACTGAAACCTGCAAAGATATTGCGATACTTATTAACCGCCATATGGGGGGGGTTATCATTACTCCCAGTTACCATTTAAATTGCTGAACAAGAAACCCATCCGTTACCACCCACCACCTAGAACATTTTCAGAATTTTAGAACATTCTATTAAATTCTGAAATATTCTCCAACATTCACAATAGTAGTAAACAAAATTGACCTTGGGCTTGCAGTTTTGGCCTTGATCTTGAAAAAATGTAAGATCAAGACGAAAATCAAGACAGTCATTGTAAGTACTAATAAGACCAAAAGCAAGAACGAACAAGACATACATTAAAACCAAAAAGAGACGAATTACACCAAGACTAAAACCAAGACCTAACAAACAACACCAAGACTAAAACGAAGGTCGAATATGGAAAAACCCAAAAGCAAGGTCAATTTTGTAAGACTGATGGAAAAATTATTACTTGCGGTGAATTTATGAGTGAATCTATTTGAAGCTACTTTAATATATTTCTTTTTCCAGCATTTTTTAAGTATCTTGTACTATTTTGTTAGCTAAAAAGTCAATTTTTTTATAATTCTCACAACTTACAGACATTATTCTCATTAAAAGTCATGACACAGAATTCGTCCCTGCAGCCACTACCACTGCGGGGTGTCAGTGAGGTGAAATTACATGCTACGCTCCCAAGCAAATAGATTTAGGGTGGTTGAAAAGTTTGTATAAAAATAAATAATATTTATATTATAATCTTGAATGTGATCTTGAGCTTGACCTTGGACGTCATAAGCAGATTAAATGTTTTTATGGAAACTCAACTCCAGAATTGGAAACACCCCTAAAATTGCTTTGCTCTTAATTTTTATGAGGAATTAAAAACAATCAAACAACCAAAATAAAGTATATTGACTGAATCTCTTTATTTTGAAAAATATTTTATATTTCATAAAGGTGACCACAATTGGTAAATGATCACTCGTTTTAATTACTATTTTAGCTGCCTGGCTTTATACCATCATTGTTTTCATGTGTAGGTGACATCATATCTGATTAGAAACTGTATGAATTACGTAAATAATTTATCATCAAGGAACAATGAAAAGGTAGAATATCCTTATCACTATTTACGTGTAATGGTAGTTACTTATTTCTAGATCTTATTTATTTTAAATAGCAAATGATCCTCGTCAATATACTAATAAAATGAATGTAAAACTGACAAACACAAACCTCATAAAAGCACAAAAATGTGAACAGATGATACACTTACCTGATAAGCAAAAGCTGATCTATTGGTTACCAGTTCACCACCAACTATTTTTGTATCATCAGCTTTTATTAATGATTGTCCAATGACAAAACCTACCCCTGAAGAGGAAGACAAACTCTTATATTAAATTATATAAAAACCTTTGAAACCTTACCTAATATAAAACACTTAACATAGTTTTTGGTTCGGGTAATTTATGAGATTAATCATACAGAATTTAATCAATAAAGATAATAATCAATAAAATTTATGTTTTCAAATTAAAATCGGTTAATGAAGACTGCTAAAATATCATGTAGTCATCCGTCAGTATTCGACGTGTACGTCAGCATACCCTACACAATATTGCTTCATTTCGTCCTATGGGGTTGTTCTGAACTTTTCGTATTAAGAATATACCAAAGTTTTGTCAACCAAAGTACAATTCATTATTAGTGCAACAATTTCAATTGAAATGCATATACCTACATGATCATCTTCATAAGGTCGTCAGTCCTAAGATTGGTTGGACACGCACCTCCACTCTTTCTATTCTGAGCTAATCTTCGCATTTCCCTACAACTAGAACATCCCACATCCTTAACTATTTGTGAACAGTAGATAATATAATCTAGGTCTATCTCTACCCCTCCTAACTCCCGTTTTTGCCTCTAATATGTCCCTGAATAGACCTCCAAGCTTGAGAAGGTGTCCTACTAACCTATCTAGCCTGTTTCTTATTGACTTGCATAGAGTCCTCTGTTCTCTTATTCTTTCTAATACCTCTTCATTTCTAACACTCTCTATCCACGGTACCCTTATCATTCGCATGTAACACCACATTTCGAACGCCTCAAATCTTTTCTTTCCCGTCGCGCCTACTGTCCATGTTTCGCATCCGTACAACGCCGCGCTCCAAACGTCCACGTTTAACAAACTTTTTCGAATTTAAATTAACAATTTTTTACCCACTACACACTTCCTCAAGTCATCTCTCGTAGCTTAGTGGTCAAAGCATTGGCGCGTAAAGCCAAAGAGCCCGGGTTCGATTCCCGGCGGGGATGTGACAACAGCAACAATTTTTGTGTGAAGTGGGTAAAAAATTGAGAATATTTCGTATTAAAACTAACTCACTTCGGGAATATTTCTACATTGTATGGATATTTCTAAATTAACCGTTGGCGAGCATAGGAGTGACTTCTTTTTATTGAAGGCGACACGGCCCTGCGCTATGCTCTGCTTTATATCCCTACAACTCCTTCCGTCCTGACTTATCTGACTTCGTAGATACCTAAAATCAGCTACTTTCTCTAATTTTTCGTCTCCTAACATCTACTACGTACAACAATAAACGTAAATGCTGAAACGCAGTCAACTGCAATTATAAAATGTACCCATTCATAAGCATTTTTTATTATATCTACACCGGTGTCTCAAAAGCAGCTACGTTATCAAATATATCAGTTTTCGATTCCTTATTAACGAGAACGTAATTATAAATATCGTGTAAAGAATTATAGAAATTTAGAGTACTTGAATAAACGATTAAAAATTAATTAACTGAAAGGAGATACTATTTTTATCAGGAAGTACTTGTTGTTATTTGAAGGTGCCTACTTTTCAAAAATTGCCATAGAAGAATGTATTTATATGCCTATCTAGACTTCTAAAAGAAAAGGTCAACTTACCAAATATGGATAACAATAACATTGCAGACTGTAACATTTTCGTCGATTTTTAGAAACTCACCTACATTCACGACTTTTTCAAAAGGAAATGATTGGGATCTTAGTTGAAGTCAGATAGTTTAATCAGTTTTTATCTATCACTACATTTACCGGAATTACATCTTGATATAAGTATTTGTAGCATATATATCTTTCGTAATAACAGACAGATAATATAATTTTTTAAATATTCGTATCGATTAGTAAATTGAGAAATAAAAGGAAAATATTAATCTTCTCTGTAGATAAGGTAACAATCAAAATATGATTAGTCATAAACAAAATGGAATTTTACGAAAATAATTCAATAATAAAACTCAATTATTTTGTTAGCATAGAACTCATTTACATTCCTTTTATAAAAACATTTACAATGATTTTCGTTAAAATTTGATTGATTCTTTAACTCGTGAATTTATGTTCTGTAAATTAATGTTTAATAAGTAATTCAGCATTTTTTTGTACATAGATTTGTTTATCCCTATGTCTTATCCTCAGTATCATTAACATATACTGCAACCATAGAAACAGGATTATTGTAGGTGACAAAAGGGACACTGCGTCATTTTATCTAACCCTAAAGCTAATATTTGGAAAATAAGCGAACAATAAGAAATTAATTATAATTTCGCAGCGTCCGGACGAACAAAACATGAAGCTAATTGTATTTTTCGATTAGAATATTTTATCGTTAATTTCATATCATTTGCATGTGAAGTGGCAGATTTAACAATTATTATTTTAACATTGNCAATAATTTTTCCTTGCGGAGGCCACATGCGGCATTGCTGATGATGCACAAATGCGGCAAGGCGTTATATGCCCCTTCCTTGCCCTAAGGGGCAACCTCATGAGGTAGTGTGGCTACCCACTAGGGACCCTACCTGCACCCCCTCAAAACTCTTGTAGGGCGTTAATTTGTTGTTAGTCTAATATACATATTGACGAACCGTCGCTATTTCAACGAACTTTTTTCAGTTCTAGTTCACTTACTTTGTTTTTATTAGGATGAAGCCATAGTTGATACACAACTTGCACATTATTCTAATTGGTTTAGAGTCTACAAAAGGCTTCCCAAAAAAGAAAAGGAGAAAACGATACTTCGAACTTGAAAGTTAGTAAGCGAAGTGTGCACGTTGGGTTACATACTTGTTGTCGAGTTAATTTCTTGTTGCTTCAAGGAATTTGCTCATAGACCGTCTCCAGTCTGCCGTGTTTGCTTTCGCTATCTTTCATTTTATCAAAAATACCTTCTTGTCTTCATAGTTCCGATTAGTCGAGAAGACCTGATTGTGCATCCAGTGTGCATACTGACAGAAAATCCGCTGTTCCTGTTACTGGCCGCAGTCGTGGGTTATAGAAGCCTTAATATTTCGTCACTACCAGGTAATTTTATTAATTATGTATATTAACTCGCATAATACTTCGTGTTTTTGGTAAGTCAAGTTATTTCATATTTGTTGCGTTTAATTATTTTTAAGAGAATTTTCTACTAAAAATATGAACAAAAAGGAACTTCTTATACAGTCATTCGCGCATCTAATTTTCTGTTTATACCTACAAAAACCGCCTCCTATAGATACCTCAATTTTTCGAACTAAACATTTTCTTTCTTCTTGCTTTTCTGCTATTTTTCTCTTCCATAATATTTCTCTCATCCTTTTTAGTCCATCAGTATCTTCCTACTTCTTTGTCTCATTTCTTGTTATTCCACATCTCTCAAAGATATTCTCAAGAGGTTCCAACATACACAACTTACATATTTTCTTCTCTTCTTACTCCCAGTACCTTGCCGTCTTATTCTCACTCTCCAGTCTAAATCTTGCTGTTGAAATTAATTAATTTTTTTTTATTGCGGTTTCATCTTGAAAGATGAAAATAATGTGGTTTTTCTTGCCCTTCTTTTCATATTCTCTTATTATCCTGTGCGAATTTTAGGTTTCTAATTTTTTTTCTTTCCATAGTATCTTTAGTTAAACTTTCCATTTTTTTCCAATTTCCATCTCTAGTTCTTAATTGTTCATCCTCTTTCCATTAAAAGAAATTTACCTTTTTTTGAAGTGAAACTTCTTTACGTACGGTAGGGTAAGTTCGTTTCATGCGAGTTGTTATGTAACAAAATCAGCTAAATTATAATAAATGGTAATGTGTCAAGTAAATCATCACTATCAGCAATGTACTACCCCTACTTACTGATGCCCTCTGCATATATTGCAATATGAACAAATGTGTAATATAATTTATGTATTATGAATCATAGCAGAAACAGCCGTTTTTCTATTAATTCTACAAATGAATTATCGAACATTAAACGTAATTTTAATGCTATTATAAGTTAAAATACGCACATTAAATACGTACAATCAAGATTTTGGATTGAAAATTCAAATTGAATCTTACAACATGTACCTACACTATAAGGTGTCAAGAGTCTTACACATTAAAGTATTATCAGTTTACTTTTTTGTCGAGATGGGGTTCCACCAAAAAAGGGTGGGTCAAAAAGGGTTCAACAACAAAAATGCGGCTCTAGGGCATGCCTCCCAGGAAAATCGCTGCCCAAACCAAAGATGTTCTATAGAAGCCTGTTTATATAATACCGATCTACAACTCAACAATTCAAACGATTAGAAATATTATCTCTTATTTCCTTTACCAGGACACATTTAAAACTAGTTATATGACAGTATGTCGCCATCTATTGGTATTTTCTGCTGTTATTTATTCAGTTTTCACGCCATTCACGTATCTGTGCCTCGTTTGCAATTCAGATGGGCAAGAAAATACCTTAATAAGGTCCATGTCTAACATCTGCAATAATATTATATGTAAAAGAAATTGTGAATGCTGTCAGCATAGGGAAAAATAGTATTACGTAGTTAGTATCAGAAATTTATTATGCTGAAGTGTACGATGTGTTGCATAACTATTTACAAACAATCCTTTTAAATTTAATTTTTCGAACAATTTTTAACACAAAGAAAGTGATTAAACAAACTGTTCACAAAGGTGTGCGGGCCTCATGTGGCTAATGAGGGGTATGCCGATATAAGGATTTCCCCGTATATTTCTTATGAAAATCCCACCAAAAATGTGGTGATACTAAAATGAGGATTTTGCATATGGTTCTTCTTCAGGGGCGAACCTGTCACATGTATAAACTTACTATTAAATCAATCTTGTGGGGGCTGAATAAGGTAAATTCGTTTATTCTCGATGAAATGAAAAAGCTTATATTAATAGTACCCTTGCCCTTATGTCGTCATTTCAATGAAATCTTTTACATTGCCACATATCAACAAGTGTACTTCCTGATGTTGTTATTATAAGACAACTTAAACCAGCCNCTATGTAACAAAATCATGCAACGGATGTTCCCCCTCTACTCGGCCACGTAGTCGAGTTCGTAGCGGGGATCGCTTGAGCCGTGAGCGCGCTTCAATGCAACGTTCGTTACAGGCAACTCCGGCATGTATTGTGTAAAATTTAAATTCATAGTGTACAAATAATACCATTAAACTAATTCGTTAAGCCCTGTGTTTGAAGAAGTTTCACTTCAGTAGCGTGTTGTATAATTGCACGTTGTATTTTTCTTTTTCATCTTTCCCTTGTAATTTTATATTCTGAAGTTTAAATATTCAATGGTACATTATCCTTAACTTATATATATTCATTTAATATGTTCTCTACCGAATTAGAAATGGATTCTTCCTCTTTGGTTTCTATCTTAAAGTAAGTTTCTTGGTACATTCCTCTTATCTTTTCCCTTAATTTGTTGTTTATTTCTAGATTTTCCAAGATTTTCCATTAGTACCATGTCTCTTTCGTTTTGTTTCTTCTGTATCCCACCTGCGTTTCTCCTAGTACCTTTTATCTCCTAATTCTTTCTTAAGTCTTTGTCTAAATAATTCAGCGTAAATTAAGTTTTATAGCTCTGTAATTTTGAAGTTTATTTTTGAGTTCTAACTCATAAATTAGCGTTATTCCCATAATTTAGTGCTGTTTGTAAGTCCGTATTTATTGTTATTTCATTCATGCCTCATTTTTAATTTAACCTTCCCCTTTTACTGTCTAAATGTAAAACCTGGCAAATATTAAAAAAAAACATTTTGGCTTATATTTTTCGGTTATTAGACTTAAATTTACTTCGTCACTATCTTTTTCTTTTTTGAGAACATAAATTCGTGAAATAAAAGGTCAAAATTACCTAAAAAGTAGAAATTTCCGAGGTATCTTTTATTACTGAATTATAATCTAGCCTCATTCTAATTGCCCCAACCAACAAGTCAAGATTACCCAAGTAGGTTTAATTTTCTGCCTGTCATATTAGGTGGTGCGTTCTTTTTCGGTTGCCCTCTCAACACTACTATGTAGTGCTGAAAAAAGAATCACAAAAAAGTCATCATTTTCAATGTATTCTTCAATGGCGCACTCAATGTGGGCTCAGAAAAACTCTAGCACTTATCCAAATATTCCAATTCCAAACGCTCAAAACCAAACAATTAGCATCATTCAAATTTTTATGTTAAGATACATATTTTGTCCTTCCATTTTCAGATGTTCACAGAAGGATCGAAAGTTGAACTTGAGGTTAGGATGTTACAAAATTCAGATGTTATCTCTGATTTTAGTCTCCACTTCCACATTGTTCTATAGGGGATTAAAGGACTACAACTCCCTTAAAGACACGTGCTAAATTCTTTAGTAAATAAACTTCCCTTTTGACGACATTTTATTACATATAATAATCTAAAAGTTATTAATTCATAGAAAATAATCTTCAAGTATCATAGCCAGGAACTTATAAACGGTACAAAATATAAACATACCTACAACTATACATATAAAGACATATTTACTTAAAATATTTTATCAAATCATTTATTTTGTCAACATCACACAAAGAATTAAAAATAACACCATGTTTATTTGTAAATAATGTGTAGTAGAGTGGCCGCTATTGGGTACATAGTTCTCTATTTGGGCCTCTATCCAATTTTTAAAATAGGCAACATCTGTATAGACTCCTGGAAATAGTGCAAACGCGCAACCATATCCCCAAGAAACAATACCCGCAACAGCACCGTCACATGCTAATGGACCTCCAGAATCACCCTTTAATGAATGCAACAAAAATTCAGAGTACATATATTTAAAAGGTGTGAGGGAATATGCGAATGCAAGAGCCAGATTTAAAAAACATTTCACTTTTCTATTTTCTAGTTCCTATTCATAATTGTTATAATTTCGTAGATGTTTCCATTAAAACACTTTTAGAAGTGGTTAGTTTTTAATATGAAAATTCATTTGTCGATTTTTTTAGCCACTACAAACTACATCAGGTTAATGAGGGAAAATTGTTGCTGTTGTCACACCCTCGTCGGGAATCGAACCCGGGACTTTTGGCTTTATGCACCAATGTCGCTGTTGTCATCTCCCGTAGCTTAGTGGTCAGCAACAACAGCAACAATTTTCCCTCATTAACCTGATGTAGTTTGACCCCCCCAGGGTTCTCACCTTGTCGCGGTGGGGGGGCTCAGTACCCATACACATGTTATGGCGAAGCTAAAGGACCCCCGGGCATCCGGAAGCAAGGTGATTGTGGGAAGCAGCCGACGGACACGAGCGAAGGTCCGGAAGCACCCGTCCGGTGTGCCAGAGGGCGCCGCGGAAGCCCCGAGGGGAAAGTACGCGGCAGCTGGCGGTCGAACGCGACGTAAACCCAGCACAGACGAGGTAGGCTAACGCGGGGGCCTCGGCTCACCCCCTGCAATTAAGCCTGCCGAGTCGAAAGGGAGGCTCTCTCGGTGCGGCATCAGACGGGGTCACAGAGTTGAGGGTAACCTGACCCACTAGAGGGGTTACGACGTGAAGCATAGTGAAATGCCGGTGGCATTATGTGGATCGGGTGTGCAGCCTGACCGTTTAGGGGGGCTGCACACTGTATGGTGAAAGCAGAGTAGATGCGAAAAGCGCAGTAGCTCGGGCGAGCCAGGAAGGCTGAAGGATGTCCGGTGATAGCGAGAGTACAGCAAAACGGATGTCACCCAGCGAGGGGTGCTCCGCAGTAGCTGATGGCGACCGGAAAGCCTATACCGGTACTCGGGAGGCGGGGAGCCCACAGGAGTCTAGCTTCGATTCTTGCCCTGCCAATTGGTGTTGGGCTCGAGGTGGCAGCTGGGACAAGCCCGCATGCTGGGTTAGGGGGCTGTGCATCGGATCGCCCGGTTCGTTGTGTAGTCCCTGCATTGAACGCTTAAGGGTCTAGATAGGTCCGAAGTTGGGGGTTACTCGCCTCGTTAACCCTCAGACACCGCATCGGTGGCTTCCTGGGACCAATCCATCTGACGGAGGGGAGACCCCAGGAAGTCCTTTTTCGTACCAACATGGCTCAGCTGTGTTGGTTTGACGTGTGAATTTACCATGCGTGGTAAAGAGGCGCACGTTAAATCTCCATACGTTGATGTAGTTTGTAGTGGGTAAAAAATTCGACAAATGAATTTTCTTTTCATTGAATTTTGTTTCCGAAAATGTTTAATTTCAATTAGTGAATTTGCTTCGATTTGTCAAATTATTTAAATGTACTGATTACTTCATAAATGTAGATATAGTTGGAGCGATCAAAATTGGCAAAATCCGCAATAAATTGGAATAGTATACTTAGGAATAATTGAAATAAGCGACAATGAAAGTGCAAATTCAACTCCCGAAGATGTCATTATATTTGGTGAGTAATAATGTCAGGGGCATATGTAGGACTAATATTTGTCATTTTACTAACGACAAATTTTCAATGCTTCTTTTGGGTTAACGAATAAAAATCCTTTAGTAACAATTATGTTAAACATTATTGAATCGTCAGTATAATGTGAATGAAAATGAAAGAGTAATAACTACATACATTACATGCATCAGCGGTTCCTTCTATGTAACCAGCGCATAGCATGTCTTCGGTCAGTCTACCTCCATAAGCAAATGTACATGTACCTCTGTCAACAATGGGGACCATTGCATACAATAGTTTTGAGGAAGCAGGTCCTCTCTTTAAACAAAACAGATGAATTAAATTTCTAAAATCCTTGATACGCAACCAATCAAAATTAGTTTTTGTCCACAGTAACGGTAGTTATACTCGTACCTAGTAGGAATTTAGCAGAGACAAGTGGTTGACTTAAATTAGTCTCAGTCTTACGAAAATGCAAGACCAATGCAAAATAATTAAAACCAAGATCAATACCAAGCCTGGGATAGTCTTGGTCTAGATCTGGCTTTGATCATCGATATTTTTCATAAGTATAAATCGCGTTATTTGATGAATTTGGATTGAGTACGTTTCGAAAAAATACTTCTTTACCAACACTTGATCTTAGTTTATTTAAAAACTAATTCGAAAACAAATAACATAAAATATTATACTATTAAATACTGAATATGAATAAAATGTTGTTCTGATTTGGTCAAGTTACTGAAAGGTTCTGTATTGTTAAAGTTACTGATAAAACTTAAAACTTTTGGGTGTTTCATTCCAGTAATGCTGGTGGGCGGGCAGTCCCTCCGGACTGTGCCGGAAGGTAGGGCGGAAGGCCCTCTTCAGCCTGCTTTCAGGAATCGTAGGAATGGGTGGGTAGTGGTTTGGGTGAGAAGGATGAGACGGACGAAATGAAGACAGAAGAGAGTGAAAGAATATTACTGCCTCAGCATTTGCCAAAGTGATCCAAGGAAACCACAGAAAAACTTGAACCAAGGCACCGGAATCGAACCGGCGTCCTCCCGAATGCTAAGCAATGGTCTAGACCTCTAGACCATGCCGCTCGGTAAGTTACTGATAGGTTCTGTCTAAATTTATTGTAAAAGAGAGTACTGATGCTTGATGGGCGTGTTCAAAAAGTTAAGGTTCAATAATTTTGGAATGTAACGTGGAGAGGAACAACCCACCTATTCTAAGAATATGACTACGTGTACTTTCCAGGGTAGTGGACCTGTACGTACACGTTTTCAGACCGTTTCCTAGATAAGTGAATGATTGGATTTTCCCATCGTTAGTTCGAAGCACAACCCGATAACAATTACAATTACAAATACATACCAAAGCATAAAATCTACCTACAATCATTAAATATTCCAAACAACCTATCTTGCAAATTTTCTGTTTCTATACCTGACTTTAACATAGACGTTTCTAAAATGTGCGCAACTAACACCATCAGGGCTTTTTCTGATAAAGAGAATAACGACACCGACGCTATAAGTACTGTTAAGTAATTGTCGCGAAAGCCTTACAATTAATCTTTAATTATTAGAAGATAGAAAATATGTCTTACGAAATAAATAGAACCCCAGCCTGATATATAACATTCCGTGCCAACCATTGGAGTAATGCTTGCAAGAGGTAGAAAATTAACAGTAGAAGACCAAGTAAAGTTTTTCTTAGTCTGGAAAAGTAGAAGATATTATGTTTTAAAAATGTCCACCGTTTTGTCTACATCGGAGTCAGCTTGAGAAGACAAAGTACGCTATAAATTACTGGACTAAATAGAGCTATTTTTAATTTTTCTTTTCAATCAATCAGTCCCTTTCACGTTCTTATTAAACCTACTTACATAAAGGGGAGTTTAACCAATAGATCAAAAATCACATTAGATTATAGACAAAAACGATATATTGATAACACGATAACAATAATGAATTTCTGACTAAAAGTAAGTAAAATTTATATTCAGAGTGGTGAATGGTTAATTGGGGGAGGGTCGTCAATTAGGCTGATTCAAATTTGTAAGTTGCAAGTACATATGAGAAAAATCGGTCGGTTTAGTTGAACGTGACAACGTCATAAGAAAATAGTGAAGGAATGGTTTCATTTTTCAAAAGAAAATTTTAATTTTATTTGTTTGATGGATATTTTGTATAGATATAGAAAAAGAGGTAAATGGAAATGTATTATTGTATAGCAGCTGTCCACGCGGACGCATCGCTCACTCAAGTAGGAGAGAGACAGATGCCGAACGCTGCTGAACGCGGAGGCCGATTGTGCCTATTTGTCGCTCGTTCCGCGCTCTCGCTTGCACTTCAAGCCTTAAATGGAACGCCTCAGAGCGAGGTAACGCCGCATGAGTCATGTTTTTTCGTACGTGCAGCCGGCTCCATCGAATTATAAGACGTTGTCACGTCAAAAACTCTGGTTCAAGGAGAGCTGTAATATGTATATATTCTTATTCACTTGTGGTTCATTGCACCTTTTAGTTCTCCATAAGAAAAGCATAGGAAATCATTGACAGAGTCACAAAATATTTCATCTGCATCTCATGAACAAAAAATCTTGTCTAGTCCATTAAGAAAAATACAACATTTTCTATATAAAGGTTGGATTTTCTTCACGATTTTTAATGTAATATATATTTTTTTTGGAGTAACTACATCAATTTGTTTATACAATTTTGATTGATACAGAAAATTTCATACTCTTTTGAATGGATTTGCTTAAGTTTATTTGCTAACGAGATATAGACGAAAATTACTAGTCAAGTATTATTTATCATGTGTTTAGTAGAATGAAGATTCGGGCTATAGGGCTGACATCCTCAGCGGTAGTGTTACGTTGACAACGTGAACGTAGATTATATCTCGAAGTCTCAACAGCGACTTAGACCACGGCCCTATAGCCCGAATCTTCATTCTACTATGGATTCCGGCCGTGAAAGCCTTTGTTCTTATATCATGTGCTTCTTTGGGAAAACTAAAAATTCTAATGACACAAGTAAATATCTACATTATGACCTCTCCCTAGACCAAAATTCTTCATATGAGCTTGCAATTATTAAACCTATTTAAAAAAATAATAATAATTTTGAAAACGTCCACAATAAAATATTTATTAGCTCCCTTTTATTCCAGTAATAAAGTTATTGAGGAAATCGCCTTCCTAAATTGACCCCAATTATTTCTCTGTCAATTGTCACGTACCAAGGCAACAGCAACATCATTTTCGAACGATGTCGAGTTGTGCTTTGGGTGTATTTTGACCTGCGCAAGTTCCATTCGAACGGTTTGTCGAGAGGTCTGGGATATGTCCAAATCACCTACAACTGCCACCACAGAACTGACAGGATGTTCTTTAAAACAATGGGCTGCGGTCAGAATTACCCCTTGAGCTATAATTGTTCCGCCACAAAAATGAAAATTTGCTGATTTGACTCTCAGCGAAACCTGTTGGGAAATAATAAGAAAGTAGAACTCACTGTAGGTGTCATACAGTAAATTGTATTGTACTTTGCTTTCAATAAAACAAGACGCTGCGCTGTGGCTAAATGACCCCCGGTAGAATTACTTATAAGAATTCTGTCCAAATTCGAAAATAAAAATAAACATAACTAAAGAAAAAAATATGTAGCGTCAGTCGAGTATAGAGGTCGGAATCGCCTGCAAGATAGACGATCCGTGCGGCATGGTCTAGACGTTTAGACCATTGCTTAGTATTTGGGAGGACGCCGGTTCGATTCTGAGTAGGTACGTCTGCCTTGGTCCAAATTTTTCGGTGGTTTCCTTGGATGACATAGGCAAATGCTGGGGCAGTAATATTCTACAGATAATCTTTCATTCTCTTCTGTCTTCATTTCGTCCGTCTCATCTTTCTCACCTGAACCATCACCCACCCATCCCCACGATTCCTGAAAGGAAGTTGAAGAGCGCCTTCCCCCTTAGCTTCCGGCGTAGTCCCGAAGGTTTGCCCGTCCACCAGCTTTACCGGCTGGTGGGAATGAAACTCCCAAGTTTTTTTTTAGTTTTGGTAGACAACCATCGATACCCCTTGGCCATTACCGTTAATTGAATGTTGTAAAGATCACCCATTTTGTATGTTTATCGAACGCGAATCTGGTCTGTATCTGACATTTGTCAGCTGCTAATGTGCGGCTTATTTTCCGAATTTGGACGGTATTCACTTAAATAAAAGAGAGTGTGACACCAGCAACAAAAAAAAATTCCATTAATGTGAGGTTATAGTGAAAAAGAAATTGGGAATTAATTTTCAAATTAATATAAAAGAATAAATCCACCGCGCTTGCATAAACAATGACAATAATGACAAAAATTCAACGTAGTAGATATCCCTAAAGAGACCATTCCACCAGTCGACATTCAGCCACTTCCTGAACTAAAATGAAAAGTGCTTGCTTCCTTTTATGAAAGTAACACACATTAAATATCTGATGTCCTGCACTTTATGAAAATATACAGGGTGTTTGGAAAGCAAGTTAACAGGAAACAGTAAATTTAATTTTCTCATTTACCTGATAAGGGAATTGTGCGCGATTGGCTACGACTGTTCCATTAACAATTCGTGTATCCCCTTTAGTAGCACCACTTGTATTTGCAATAGTAAAAATTCCTAAAATTATAAATTTAATAGTAATACGCGCAAGTACATTAAAATATACTAAAAATTAAGTGTGTAGTATGTAGTATTTCATCCACACTACCTGCAGCGTACTGATGAATTGAAATAAGATCGAAATCGCCAATTACGTCTACTACATTCAATAAATTACTAGTCAAGAACTAAATCCATCCAAGTCAACTGATTTTTTACCAAATACTGGTAATAAGTTGACATCACAACAGTAAATTTTCATTTACCTTTGTAAAAGTCATGTTCTTCCTATATTTTGATAAGGCTTTGTAAAGGTATCTCCTTGTCAAATTATATCATGTTGCAGGTTTAATACTAGATAGTTGCACAGACCTATTAACTAAGTTCGTTATCTCCTGGGTTGCCCTAGAAGCGACTGGAGGCAGTGCTCTGTACAAGGTCTGTTCAAAACTATCGCGAATTTTGAATTTCCACGGGTTACGTATATTCGATTTTCGAAGGACTCCGTCCGCGAGGACCCAAATTTGCTCCAGAGGGTCATAACTGGTGACGAATCATGGGTTTATGATTATGACGTAGAAACTAAAACTCAATCATCCCAATGGAAGCTGTCGTATGAGCCAAGACCGAAAAAAGCATGCCAAGTTAGCACGAATGTGAAGGTTTTGCTTACAGTTTTTTTTTATTGCAAGGGCTTGGTGCATCATGAGTTCTTGCCATAGGGTAGAATAGTCAATAAGGAATATTATCTGCAATTTGCGCGAAGCAATCCAGCCAGAAAAGATCGGATTTGTAGAAAAACAAAAATTGACTTCCCGTAGGAAAAATTTCCATTGAACTTCAATGGGAATCAATGGAAAATTTGTAAATTCCATTCAAACCCATTTGGCATAAATAGAAAAATAATTGTTTCCATTTATAATAATTCCATTAATATTTACATAGGAAAAATTTCCATTGATTTTCAGTGGGAACCAATGCAAAATTTATAAATTCTATTTAAAACCATTCAATATAAATGGAAAAACAATTAGGTACCTAAAAATGGAGAACATCTGGTTTGAGATGATTAAAACTTATTGAAATAAATGGAGAAAAACATGGTGAAGTTAATGTGATTGTCAAAGCAAGTTGAAAAAAGAAAACCTCATATTTCATCTTGATTAAAACGAATGTCATTTAATTACCACTAACAATAATTAAAGGTAAAAAAAAAAAATTGACACTAGGATTTCCATTGGGTTCAGAAATGGAACGTAACGGAAATCCCATTGAGTTCGGGAATGGGATTTCCACTTGAATTCTAGTGGAAATTCCATTCATCCCATTGGCAATTCTCCATTTATTACCATTAATTATTATCAGTGGTAATTAAATGGCATTTTCGTAATGGAAATAGAATGGAAATTTTTCCTACGGGTTCTGCACTATGATAACGCTCCTGTTCACACATCGTTGCTTGTGCGCGAATTTGTGGCCAAAAACAATAAACTAACAATGCCGCAGCCACCGTATTCCGCCGATCTGGCCCCCTGTGACTTTTTCTTGTTCCCGTAACTGAAGAGATCCATGAAAGCACGACGCTACTCTACGATTGAAGAGATAAAGACGGCACCGAAGGAGGAGCTGAACAAGAGCACAAAAAATGGTTTGGTGTGGTTCGAGGATTGAAAAAAAAACGTTGGGACAAGTGCATAATATCTGCTGGGGATGATTTTGAAAGGAACAAAATAGATATTGATGAATAAATAAATAAGTTTTGAAAAAACTTAAATTCGCGTTACTTTTTGAACAAACTTCGTATGCAGTTTGAATGATGGCGGACCATATATAGGGAGTGTTCCGAAATATAACCCAACATACTGGCCAGTGCTGATGACGTCATAAATCGACGCCATATTGTACTGGTGTGCCACCATATTGTACTGGTGAGACAAATGTGATGTAGTAGTACATCAAACGGGCGTGTGTGCATCAGCCTTTGAGGAATTTTTTATTGTAACAAACTTAAATAACTTTCAGAGCAAAATTATTGTAAACGAGCACAAACACTATTGTCAATATGGCGTCAATTTGACGACAATGCACTGGCCAGTATATTTCGGAACGAATCAACAGTATGGCGTCGATTCATTACGTCATCAGCACTGGTCATTATGCTGGGTTACATTTCGGAACACACTCATTACTGGTCACAAGCTGCGGTAGCAGTTTGTTCTAGCTATTTAAAACTTAAAGCAGCTAGTCCTTTTCCGCTGCAAACTTAACACCATTCGCTGGCCGCTGTTTGAACAGAAACAGTTTTGACACAATAAAAGTGATTTTCTTTATACGAACCATTTATTCAACTTAAAATTAATTGATAACATTTTGAAAATTTAAATTGACCAAAAACCGGGCTTAACTTAAAAATTTGATCAAAAGTGACGACCACCAGTGTTTTAAAAAATACTACAAATGGCGTGGTGAGCGCCATCTGTAGTACGATGCTACATTTGAGGATTACGTATGTTCCAACAAGGTCCGTTTTAAAATATGGATATCTACTTGCTGAAACGAATCCCGGCGTAGCTAACCTCAACGTGATAGGCACGTTACCATAATCGAATAAAATTATTCGAAGTGGTCTGTATTCTGTCGAAACTGCCAGACGCGGATCGCGATTTCGATCTTTTTGGATCTCATCAGCGCGTCGCAGGCAGCTCCGACAGAACACAGACATCAAAAACGCGCTATTAAGACAGCAGGTAAAGGTTGGTCTGTGTTCTATCGGAGCTGTCTGCGATGCGCTGAAGAGATCCAAAAAGATCAAAATCGCGATCCGCGTCTGGCAGTTTCGACAGAATACAGACCACTTCGAATTATTTTGTACCACCAGTGTCTTACAATAGCACGGAATGTCGAGTGATGACTGGTGATCAATAAAAGCTACGCGTATCCGCGTCTATTGACGACACAAATGACCAAATGTGTGAGCGGCCTTACCGACACGACGCGACGGTCATTGAATGCAGAACAATTCGCTGTCAATTAACATTAACCTGTTAACGCATGTAATTGTTTTGTATCTGGCAATGTATTATTTTTAGATAAGATAAAAGTACATAAAGCCTTCCTACCTACTACAAGCACTTGAATTAAGCCGGTATTCCTAAAACTGTGGCAGTTATTCATTGTTTGTCAGTTACCCATGAGATTAGATATAAATATGTTTAAAAAAAATTCAGGTAATTTTAGAAACACTTTATATTTTATCCAAGTATAGACAGTGTATCGATATCTAGTTGGTATTTTCTGGTACTGAAATATTTCTTGTGTTAGCAATTTATCGAGACTAACTATTTATCATTCGGGAAAGTTCTTGAACCTTCCAGAATATTCTAAAACATTCTCGAATCAGAAAATACCACAAATGGCGTGTTGAACGCTATCTGTAGTACGATGCTACATTTTAGGATTACATATGCTCCAACAAGGTCCATTTAAATATATGGATATCTACTTTCTGAAACGAATCCCGGCGTAGCTAACCTCAACGTGATAGGCACGTTTCAGCAGGTCCATATATTTAAATGGACCTTGTTGGAGCATACATAATCCTAAAATGTAGCATCGTACTACAGATGGCGTTCACCACGCCATTTGTGGTATTTTCTAAAACGCGCTGTTAAGACAGCAGGGAAAAGTTGGTCTGTGTTCTGTCGGAGTTGTCTGCGAAGCGCTGATGAGATCCAAAAAGATCGAAATCGCGATCCGCGTCTGGCAGTTTCGACAGAATACAAACCACTTTAGATTATTTTATTCTCGAATCCTACTGATGTAGGATATTCAGAAAAAGTTTGACACGTGTAACGTTTTGACCCAATTAACATATTTACTGTCTATTAGTATTTAAATTAATCATTAAAGAAAAACTAAATAATAAATAACTTTAACCACAAAACACTCCGTATTTCACACAAATATATTTTGGGCAAGAAAATATGATTCATCCTTAACAATGCCATAAATTTTATATTACTTGACGACTAAATCTCTTATCACAGAAAATGTGTATCTATCGCTTACTATTGAACAAAGCAAAGATAAATGAGTGGATTCGCTACACAGCGAGAATAATAATAAAAACGTCTGCCTTTTGAAATACTGTCAGGACAAATATCAAAACAATAAATAACTTTCTCCAATAAATGAATAATCTATAACACCATTATGACAATTTTAATATAAACTGTATTAAAGGTTTCTGGTTTGTTTACTTTTACTATGTCTACCACACATTAAACAGTTAATAATAAATGCTTTATTTACAATTATTTCAATTCGCAAATAAAAATCTTACCTATAATCAGCGTCACAACTATATTCTTCATTTTATCGGAGTATTACAGTTAGAATTGTACAAATTGTTAAAAAGAATGCTTGTGAATGTGTACTATTAATGACTATTAAATCTAAAGTTTACGAAAAGATTATATTGTTGTAAAACATCACCAACTGAACTACCCATGTCAATTTTTTGTTACTATTAGACAGAAATCTGTGGCAATCTATAAAAAACATCTGATAACTCCTTTATCTAAACCCGATTGAGATTGCTTTCCATTAGCCATCATATCGTCACTGATAAGCTGCACCTTTCTATTTACCAACAGTAAGATGATAAAGACGATTGAAAAATAAAAAGAAAATGGTAACGGTCTCTATCAGTGCACTTACCTTTGATTTCATTGAAATTTTAGAACGCTGTACAGTTCACAATGCTAAACAACCGAACCTAACCTAACCTAATATAACCCAGTCCCAACCTAACCCAAGACAATTTTAATGTTTTTTGCAGGTTATCATTGCTATAAACAAGAGAAGATGTTTTTGGTGAAGATCTAGATGATGGCCCTTCGGGGGGGGGGGGGAAATCAAAATAGGAGGTTTCCCCCACCACTGTACCATAAAAAGTTCATGGCGGTCTCACCCCCACAAAAAGTTACGGGGGTTCAAAGTTAATAAAAATCCAAATGTTTATACATTTCTAGGCATGTAAATATTTATATAGTCATTCTTAAACAATATTTAAAGGTAAAACTAATGAAAAATACATAAAAATATTGAGAAAGTTATATAAAACATTATTTAAATATCTTTATCAATAGGGAAGGTTAGGTTAGGTTAGGTTATCGGGTTTTGTTCAAGTGACCACCCTCTTTCGACCCCCCCCCTCCACCCACTTGAATATAATATATTGATTTTATTTAAATTATAATGTATGAAAATTGTCAAAATAATCAACTTTCAACCCCCACAACTGTTTATGGGGGTGAGACCGCCGCAAATTTTTTATGGGGTTTTACTCAGGTGACCACCCTCTTTCTATCTCCCCTACCCTCTTTCGATTCCCCCTACCCCCACCCCCATGTTTTTTTATTTAATTCCTTACGACCATAAGCTTACAGTACAAAAAAGTTTGGTTAGTGTTGTTGTGGTCTTGTCTTCTTTCTTTGTTCTTCTGCAGTAAACTGGCGTGTGCATGTTACATTTAAAGCTGGTGCTGATACCGCGTATATTTTCAGACTTTACGGTGAAGTATGATCATAGGCGTGGCTTGTCTTGGACAGTCCCCTTATATTCTCGCATTGTGCTTTTGCGCAACTCATAGCCATCCAGCGGACTTAAGCCGTTCGTAGCAAAGCCTACATTTGTTTGTTTATTTTTTTTTTATTTGCGCAACATCTCTCTCGAACCGCCGCTGTTTAAACGATAGCTCTTTCACATATTACTTTTATTAAACTGAATCCATAGTAGTTACACAATTCGCGTATTTGTCTAATTGGTTTACGGTTTACAAAAGGCTTCTAAAGATGAGAACGATGTTATGAACATAAGTATAGTACGGCAGAATTCTGACCAGCAAGACTTGTTTCTTTTGTATACATTTTTAAATTCAATTTAAAATAGCAGCACCCCTAGCTTCTGTCAGAAATGACAATATTATGTTTCAATATGTTATAACTCCGTAAGTCTTCTGAGTGTAGGAAAACGACGCCGAAGTTTTTAGTCAGCTATCAGCTGTTATCGGCCATCTTTGACAGCTGTCAATGTCGGCCGCCATTTGGATGTTTGTAGTAGTGGAGTAAATCACAATGATGGCGAAGGGCTGACGGCTGAAGTCCACGAATGAAGTCTGATACAGCAGCGAAGCAATCGGGGTAGGGTGCACAGACCAAAATGGTGGCCGGCGATGACAGCTGTCAAAGATGGCTAACAACAGCTGATGACAGCTGTGACGCAAGAGTAGGAGTGGTCAAAATGTCCAAATATGATATTCCGTAAGCAGACTTTAATGGAAATACTTCATATGCTTTGAAAATTTTGCTTTTCAAGTGTACTATGATTTCTAGGCTTATATTTCGTTATTATTTCTCATAAAGACACGTACGGAAATACTTATTTAACGTTAGAATAATTTTTGTTATTGGTATCTTATTGTAATGATATTCCATTAGTTACTTAGCAATTCATTCAACTTCAGGTATCGTTGCAAAAAACGTACAGACGATTTAAGGATGCAAAATATTACTACTACTTATATATAATATATAAAAACATATTATTACTAAAACAAATATTTTCATTCTCATATCTAAAAATTTTATCAATTCATTTATTCGCGAGCATCACACAAACAATTAAAAATAGCGCGATATGAACATGAAAATAGTGTTTGGCAGAATGACTACTGTCTGGCGTGTAGTTCTCTATTTGGGTCTCGATCCAACTTTTGAAATAGGCAACATCCGTATAGACTCCTGGATATGGCGCATGAGCGCATCCATAGCCCCAAGAAACAATACCCGCAACGACACCACCGCATACTAATGGTCCTCCAGAGTCACCCTTTAATAGACACAACAAAAGTAGAAACTACATTAAACTAAGCACATGCAGAAATGTTATCATTTGAATTTGATTTTATGAGTCAGTAGCACAGTAACATGATTATTTTTATAGTGCAAGAACTATAGAACAGTATTCTATGAAATTATTGTCTGGCGGTTCTGCGACCTTGCCCTAATACCTAGAGTAAATTTTCAATGCTCTGCTATTTTCGAAACAAGCAATTATTCTAAAAACTATCTTATCAAATGAACAAGAATAAAATAGAGATATTTACACTACATGCATCAGCTGTTCCATTCAAATATCCGGCACACAACATATCTTCCGTTATTTTGTTTCCATAAACACTGTTACACACTGTTTTGTTAATAATAAGGACAATGGCATACAAAAGTTTCGGCGAAGCAGGTCCTTCCTTCAAATAAAAAAACTCATCTTACTTTTATACGTCTTGCAAATCAAATGATTGTACATGTTTGAAGAGAGGTAAAGGTTGTTAACTTAAAACTAAAGATAAATAAAATTATTTGATAATTGATAAGCAGAGGTATGTACGTAAGTTTCCGTTCAAGTTCTTGGGTCATTGTCTTGAAGGATATTATGGTTCTTCAACGTTACAAAAATGCTTAAGAATAGCAGCAGAGGGAGTTTCTCTGATGAAGTTTGACTAGGACTTAATGACGACACCATAAAGATCCGAACGGAAACATTTTACCGTCAAACAATGATCATGATATCTTTACAATTAACTAAATCATCAGAATAAATAAAATGTGCCTCACATAATAAGTAGAACCCCAGCCCGAAATATAACATTCGGTACCACCCTGTGGCGTATTGTTTGCAAGAGGTAGAAAATTAACAGTTGAAGTCCAACTAAAAATTTCCTTAGTCTGGAAAAGCAGATGATGTACTTTTTAAAATATGCTACTATTTCCTTTATTAGAGAGTCACTTTAGGATGACGAAGACTACAATAAATCCTAAATAAAAAGGTAAAGTATTTTACTGGATCGCCCACACACGATCTTCCCTTATTGGAGAAATTTTGCATTCGCTGGCATAATGGAAGATGTAATGGTTGCACAAATAATCTATTCTTTAAATATATTGGTTTCCACTACCTTGGCAATAATAATAATAACAATCATCATCATAGGGTTCTCAGTCCTAAGCCTAGTTAGACACAGAATTCCACTTTTTCCTATCTTGAGCTAACATTCGCATTTCCCTAAAACTGCAACATCCCACATCCTTAACTATTTGCGAACAGTAATCTAATCTAGATCTACCTCTACTCCTCTTAACTCCTGTTTTTGCTTCTAATGTGTCTCTGACTAGACGTTTATGCCTAAGTGTCCTAACAACCTATCTCCCCTATCTTCCTGACTTATTTGTCTTCGTAAATATCTAAATTCAGCCACTTCTTCTAATCCTTCGTCTCCTATCTTTATATTCGCTCTTTCTCTACTTTTTCTTCCTTTGTATATCAGTATGTTTGTTTTACTTTTATTTATTTTCATATAATACTGTTTCAGCAATACTGCGCCCATTTTATTTAAAGCTATCTCTAACTCCTCCTTGCTAGATGCTAATACTGCTATATCATCTGCAAATCTGAGCATACTAATCTTTTGTTCCTGTATATCTATTCCTACAGTTGCACTGTCTTTAATGATGTTAATCGCGTCTTCTGTATATAGATAAAAAAAAGTAGCGGTAACAGTGTGCATCCTTGTCTGAATCCCTTTCTAATATTTACTTCTCTACGTTGCTACTCCAGATCTATAACTGCCTGTTGGTTTTTATACAAACTAAGTATCACTTTTCTATCTCTGTAACATACCCTCTAACAATCTTTAAAGATATAACTATACCCTGCGCTATTCTTTCTTTTATATCTCTACTACTCCTTCCATCTTGAAAAATGTTCAAGGTGAGCCGCATGCCATTCCTGGTTTAAAGTGTTAGACTTTCAATCGACTCACTTTAAATTAGATAATAATTTATTGTGGACTTCGCCTTCCTAACCTGACCCAAATAAGTATAAATAATTATGTCAAGTATCGGGTACCATGGCAACTGCAACATCATTTTCGATAGATGTTCTATTGTAGTCTGCATGCGACAAGATCGCGGCAACCTCCATGTGAACGGTTTCCCTGGAGGTTGCGGATATGTCCAAATCGCCTACAACAGCCACCACAGAATTGGCAGAATATGTTTCAAAACAGTGGGCTGCCGTCAAAACTGCCCTTTCGCTGATTATTGTTCCAGCACAGAAGTGATGGTTTAATGATTTAACTCTAAACGATACCTAAAGGAATTAAAATAAGTAAATTCAATTTTCCAAACCCTTGTCAAACGTTACCAAATACTATATACTACATAAGAACAAAGGCTTTCACGGCCGGAATCCTTAGTAGAATGAAGATTCGCTCTCGAGACTTCGAGATTTAATCTACGTTCACGTTGTCAACGCAGCACTACCACTGAGGATGTCAGCCGCAGTAGCTGACGAAACGTCTGGACACTGTAGTTCACTTAGACCACGGCCCTATAGCCCGAATCTGCATTCTACTATACTGTATACTGTCATTTACTTGATGTAGCCTTTATAGGAAATGGGTACATGTTAAACACCCTGTATATTCGATATCCAGCACGTTACAAAATTAAATCTGTTGACGCTACAAACCTCGTGATTTCGGGTACTAAGTAATTCTCATTAATTGCTGACAAACGTACAGGGTGTTTCTAAAGCACTCGAAAGAGAGACATTGCTAACGTTTTATCTACTGTTTTCTTCTTACCTGATAAGCGAATTCTGTGCGATTGGTTACTACCGTCCCATTAATAATTCGTGTGCCCAATTTTGTCACCATATTTGCATTGAGCACAGTAATAATACCTAAAAATACAAATCTATGTATCTATCTAAGTACGTATTTTTGTTTTTCCAAATCCAATAACGCAAGAAACTGCAACTGATTATCAGCATAGTCAAAATTCGTTATTTATCTGATAGTAAACACCAAAAGTAGTTAAAAGTAAACGAGAAAAAGGTTACTTTATTAATGAATGGTATAATGCTGCATCAATACGATTCAAACCACATGATTTTCTAATAATTTATTGTCAATAAACCAAAAATTGTGAGAACAACATGCCTTACAGTTTACCAAACCATCCAGTGGTATACTAGGGGTTGCCCAAAACAAGACGAGAAAATTTTTCTGTGGACCTAATAACGTTAATAAACGATTATCACAGCCCATTTCAATGCTACCGTAGGTTTTGCAATGGTAAACTTCAGATAACAACGTATTATCATCAAACTTTCTTTTCTACTATAGAAAACAAAGCTAGAAGCAGTAGTTATGACATTAATGCTCTACATAAACCAGATAAGATTTCAGAGGGTTTGACCGACTTAAAAGTAGCCGAATGTCAGTACAATTAGAAGTCCTGCTTAGGTCTCTCGTCAAGGTTCAGAACATATACTTCGTTTAGTTTCTGTAGCGATGTGACCTTCAGTTTGACCGGCACAAAGTGGAAAAGAACAGCACTAGGCCAGAAGAGAAAGGAGACAACTCTCGGTCAAACTCTGAACCGGTGAGGAGCGTATAATCCGTACAGTACTGCACGGAAAAATTGACCATTTCATCCACTACAATTGCATTGCTCAAATGTGCTGTTATTGGTACCAATTACTACTGAAAATATCAACGAGATGTTTATTTATATTTGAAGATATACTAAATGCTTTAACACTTGTTTTCGACTCGCACTACTGTTCATGATTGAACAAAACTTTTGGCAGGTACTGTATGAAAAAGTATGTTTAATGAACAAGAGTCGAGAGTATAACGAGCTTTTTTCTCCCTATCTACGATTTTGTCAGCGCGCATCAAGACATTGGAAGGGGCACATCGCTAGAAAAAGTAAATTAAGTATAAACAGGTACATATATTCAACAAGAGCACCAAATCGTTGCGGGCCAATCAACGAATTGGAGGAGTTCAAACCAAAACAATAAAAAAGAATCGTTACTGAAGATTTGAACATAAAATTCGTTGCCACAAGTTTGTTCCACGATCGCTTTTCAATGAACAGAAGCAGAACCGTCGAGAACGCGAGGAATTGATAGAGCAGGCACAAATTGATCCTGAAACAAAGTTGCAATCAGCCTATTACAGAAAGCTTCATCGCATCGCACTGAAGCACGGCAAATAAAATCAAATCTGAAGTGTACGCCGTTTTCCATTTTCAACATCAATGGGGTTGTTTATGTTCGACCTTTTCCTCAAAGGACACTATAGGAAACCAACACTTCTACACGCAAGAGCTAAAGCGACTGCAAAATACAGTGAAAAGGAAAATAGTCCGCTTCATCATGACAACGTTTGCTCACATAGCTTTGGAAATTTTAAAAACTAATCATCATCATCATTATAAGAACGTCAGTCTTAAGACCGGTAGGAAACGCACCTTCACTCCTTCCTATTCTGAGCTAATATTCGCATTTCCTTAAAATTAGAACATCCCACATCCTTAACTAATTGCGAACATAGTCTAAACTATGTCTACCTCTACTCCTCTTAACTCCTATTTCTGCCTCTAATATGTCTCTGATTAGACCTTCATGCCTGAGAAGGTGTCCTACCAACCTATCTCGCCTATTTTTTATTGACTTCCATAGAGTTCTCTATTCTCCTTTCCTTCTAATATCTCTTCTTTTCTAGCCTTCTCTATCCACCAGTACAACTCCGCGCTTCAAACATACACCTTTAACAAACTTTTTCGAAATTCTAAATTAACCGTTTGCGAGCATAGAAGTCTCGACTAAGCCCTAAAAAAAAGAAACTTTTGGGTGTTTCATCCCCACCAGCCAGTAATGCTGGTGGGCGGGCAGTCCCTCCGGACTATACCGGAAGGTAGGGCGAAAGGCCCTCTTCCGCCTGCTTTCAGAAATCGTGGGAATGGGTGGGTGGTGGTTCGGGTGAGAAAGATGAGACGGACGAAATGAAGACAGAAGAGAGTGAAAGATTATCAGTGGAATATTACTGCCTTAGCATTTGCCTAAGTAATCCAAGGAAATCACAGAAAAACTTGGACCAAGGCAGACGGACCCGGAATCGAACCGGCGTCCTCCCGAATGCTAAGCAATGTTCTAGACTCTAGGCCATGCCGCTCGGTAAACCCTGCGCTATCCTCTGCTTTATACTTTATATCCCTACTACTCCTTCCGTCCTGACTTATCTGACTTCCCAGATACCTAAAATCAGCCACTTCTTCAAATATTTCGTCTCCCATCTTTATCTTCGCTCTTTCCTTACTTTTTCTTCACTTGCATACCAGTATTTTTGTTTTACTTTTATTTATTATCATACAATACTGTTTTGTCAATACCGTTTCCATTTCATTTAAAGCTATCTCTAACTCCTCCTTGCTAGATGCTAATACTGCTATATCATCTGCAAATCTAAGCATAGTAATATTTTGCCCCTGTATATCTATCCCTACAGTTGTACTGTCTTTAATGATGTTAATGATGTTTCATATTGATAACAACTTTTGTTTATTTTTGGGCAACCCCTAGTTTTCAACAATGTTTTTAAGTTCCATATAACGCATGAAGGGTATCTAATATCAATATACCTATTGCGGGAACTTGAATTAAGTGAATAATTTATTGTTTTTTTGTTCCTTATAAAATATTTGTTGTAGCATTACAAAGATAGTGTATGAATGACGAACTTTTAAACAAATCTAAAAGATAAACGGATTTTCGGTGACGTATGTTGTTTGGAACCTTTAAAAGCAAAATTTGCAAATTCGTTTGTTAACTAGTAATATGTAAGTACATATTATCTGCATTTACGATTACATTTTACTTGAATTAATTTATTGTAGAGAATGTTAGCATTTACGTATAAACTAAATTTGTTTAAATACACAAATGAAAACTTACCTAATATTATAACACTAAATATCACCATTACGTTCTTCATTTCATCGAATAAATATGCAAATTATCACAATTAAAATTGCCTAATTTAATGACAAATACAAAGTGTACAAATTATTGAATACAGTTGGTACTTTTATGAACATATATACACCATCGACGACTAGTTTTACAAGAAGAATATGTCTTTTGGAAAATATCACTAATTAAACTGCCCATTGCAAGATTTTTACATTTAGACTTATTGACGATACGTATTAGAAACCTACAGTAATCAACGACAAAAATTGAATAACTGTAATATTCAATGTTCCACTAATTTATAGTAATCACATCACAATTGGTTATATGAACTTGTTCTGTTTACCAGGTTCTCGAATAGAAAAAAAAGGACACAAAACTTTGAAAAAGAAATTTTCTTTTTTTCCAGCAAAGCATTATTCAAATACAACCGAAAATGACAGAGTTACAGCAAGTAAATCACTTGCTCATCAGATAAAAGAGTTCGCGCAGATAATAATTTCAATGTTACTGTAATTAGAATGAATTATTATGAAAGCGTTTATTGGCGGTACTTATTCTACGACATTAGCGTTACAGATAAAAATTTATTAGAGGTAATAAATTACAATGGGTAATAAGACATACAGCACCAAAACTTCCTACCTTTCCATTATTTCATTTCGTTGAAATGCCCACGCAAAATTTAATTTATAATTTCCCGAAACTATGATGAATTATTAAATACTTACTAACTAAATAATTAAATAATGTGTAACATGAACAATAACTACATTACAGATTCTGATGTTTCCAGGTAACATATAGACAGTAATAATCTTGCTGCCTTATTTTATTGGTAGTGTCCGACCGAAACTGGTTTTTACGACCGAAACCGAAACCGAATTTCGGCAACGGTCTCAGTTTCAGCCGAAACCGAAACCGAAGCCGAAACTTCCTTATAAGGATCATGCTTTGAGAGAAAAATAAAGAAAACGTTATTATAATCAGTCAGTTTTATTTTTTTATCTTTAAATCACATAGCTCTGCAGTCTTTGACATTTTCACTCATTGATAATCAAATCAAAATCAACATAACAACCCCTCATTTAAGGAAATACTTTAATTGCGCCTTAAAAATAGTTAAATTAGGTGAGATGTTTATTTGAGTAAGTATAGTATACTTCGCTTGGATGGAATTTATCGCGCCGAACAAGACCGAGCAGAGCGCGAGAACTCCCAAACGCAGTTTCGGTTTCGGTCGTACTTTCGGCAGGTTTGCCGCCGAAACCGAAACTAGTTTTTTTGCTGAAACTCGGCCAAAACCGATACCGAAACCGAACTTTCGGTCGGACACTATTTATTGGTCTCATCTCAAGAGGAGGCTGAGGCGTTTGAGATTTAGCATTAAAAATAGTCAAATAGCACAAAAAGAGAAAAATAAAAATCGTTAATATTCATCTTAATTCTATTTGGAATTTTTCTGTAACAAATTTAAATTGTTTGTCTTCACCACAATCGAATATGAGGAACCTTTAGGCTGTGAGTCCCCTCAGAATTCCTACGTGCAATTTAGTATGACCGGCGCCTCCACCGAAAATTTTAAACTTTGATATTAACAATGTGTATAGTTAGGACATTCAAAATTGACATAGTCCTCAATGAAACTGACATATTTACCTTCTTCTTTCAACTAGTTAGACTAGAGCGGTTATTGACACAACGCCTACTTTTACTCACGGCAGACGTCATAGGGAATATCGTAAACATAGAAAAAAAATGTCAAGCAGGAATTGCAGCGGACACTAATAAAGAAAAAGAAATAACATTACACCAATTGATGTGTAACAGAAATAGATGCAGACAAGCAGAATTTGAGTATGTTGCCAGCATCGGACTTAAAAGAAAGTTCAACACTCTCAGGAATTTAGGAATTAAAGATGTAATTCCAACCAGGCAGTTATAACCATTAACTACAACCGTTACTGTTTACATTTTTCATGGATGTAGTTTGTTAGTTGTTCTCGCGATTTCTCTATACGTTGACAATTCACGTCCAGGGCCGGATTCCGATTACAACTTGACCTGGTTTTCTTACGAATTTGTTTGTCCCTAAACCACGCTGCTTTACTCAGCAAGCGATTCTCTATTGCATCTAGTTAACACCTTCTAAAGCTTGCTACTTATTTCAGAAACACTCTGTATATATATATTTAATGTGCGTAAAAGAAATAAAGGTACTGTTCATGAGTAGACATCTCAATAACAACAACCGCAGCGAAGTATTCTACCTTTGACGTTTGATAAATAGAAACATGGGGTGAGGTCAGGCAATCCTGGATTAGGGCTATCAAATCCTGTTCAAATAATGCCGACCGTAAAATCGCTAACCTTTTCATCATTAGATAACCTTTGTTCTTTTGGGTGTATACGATTTTATGAGCATTATGTTCCGCAAGAAAATTCTTTTTTGCAGGAAAATTCTTTCAATAAATTGTCTCTATGGTTTCTTTAGTTAATTGAGACAAAAGCTGGGACAGTAAGATTTCGCAAATAAAATCGTTCACTCATCTTTCTCACCGCAATCATTACCATCCACCCCATTGCTACGATGTCAAAAAGGGGGTCAAATCAGGCCTTCCACCTTAGTATCTGACTTTGCACGATGTGCTGTTATGTAGTTGAAAAGTTCTTGGATGTCAGTATTCTGTCAAAACCGTCTCACAACATGTAGCGATATTCAACAGATGGCATTCGTTACGCTATTTGCAGTCATTCATAAAACGCTGTCTAAAGACAGCACCTAGAGTCGGTCTATATTCTTCGGCGTGCTGAAGAGATCCAATTAAATCGAAAAAGCAATTTAAGTCATAATTTCATATGAAACTGTCCTCGTATAACGTTTTCCTTCGTTTCGCAGGAAAGCAGTAGCAGCTGACGGACGACGTTCCTGCTAATTCGACTGTTCCCCCACCTGACGTTCCTGCTAGCAACTAATTTCGCGTCGACGCTTGCGTGAAGTTGCCGTTAGTAACCGCGCCCGATGGACGCCAGTTCTATTGCAGCGATGGATAAGGACGCTCTCAAGAAGCAGATCGAAAATATGAAATACCAGGCGTCGATGGAGCGCTGGCCATTGTCGAAGAGCATCGCCGCGTAAGTACAAACAAACGACTTATTACTACTACCGGTATTGAGATGCTTGTTTGAATATCTGGATTTTGTTTTCGTCGCTTGGAAATTTTAATTTATTTCTCAATGAAAATTGAAAATTAAATAGGCCGCGTTACGATGCAGATGTTTCCATGCGATAATTTTGTGTTTATGTTGTGTGATGCAATATTGACGTTGCGGTCGCGTGCTCTTCTTGGGCTATACGGGACGTTCTCCAACAAACTTTGTATTATTTTTTAGCGTCTATTTCATAAAGTTGAGTATTTTTATAGAAAATGTACTCAAACCGCCAGTACACATCAACATATCAAACAAATAGGGCAATTTATGGAATTATTGTCCATCCTGGAAATTTGTCAGTTGTTTACGTTGTGGTGCATATTTTTGCTAAAATTATTTTGCATAGTTTAAAAGTTTTTATTTATTTACTTACTTAATTATTATTATTTTGTTTTGGATTAATAAAAAATATTAATTATCTAATTAAATTCCATTTTCGGGTCAAAATGTCGATCAAATAACAAGTGAACTTTCTAAATTCTCCACTACGTTTTGAAACATGTAAATTAGAGCCGACCTGAGATATTCACGTGTACAATTAGAAATCTCAACTTTTTGCTAAAAAAATTTTCCCAGAAAAACGATAAATCTGTTATTTCTATAGAACAGTTAACTGCTTTTTGTAGTCGATTGCTTTAAAATACATTTATACATCATAATTATAATATTATTAGCTGCTGATATAATATTAGAAAGTCTGTATTAATTATGAGTGAACCACCGATGTTTGGTACCACCCATGGATTCTGAATATGCCCCAGGTTAAATATTACAGCAAATACCTGCCAATTTAATATAAAGTAGGTACTTCTAAATGTTTTACTTTTCATCAAAAATAGAACTGTTCCTTTGCCAGACTAAATTTTTGCGGAATTATAATGTTCAGCATATTATTAAAGCATATCTTGCTTATTTACTATCTAAGGAATTAACGTTGAAAAAAATATTTTTTCTTTATTCCAAGGGAAAAAATAAAC